GTCACCAAGTATTACTACTGTGAAGAGCTTTGCATGGCTTTTACCGGTGAATACACAAATTTAGACGCATGCCGGATTTGTTCAAAGAAAAAATCTGAATCGTCTTACTTTTATCATTTAAGTCCCCGTATTTCCATTGCTAAGCTTTTTGAAAACAAGGTTCTAGCTAAAATTATGAGATTTTTGCCCCGACGCTCACCACACACTGACAAATTACGAGATGTTTTTGATGGCGAAAATTATAAAGCATTGTCCAACGAGGTGATTAAATGCCGTGACGGACCCGGTAGTGAGTTCCACCCCCAACCTGATGGTGTCAAACATTTTGAGCATTCTGATGACTCGATACAGCTGGTTCTATCTATAAACAGCGATATAACCAATGTTCTTTCTTTTGGTCACAAGGAAGTAATTGTTTTCACAGCCACTATTCACAATCTTCCTTTAAGCATTCGTTCATCGCGTCGTTTCATTTTGCCTTTGATGTCCATTCCAAAAATTAAAAGGAAGAATGCATTTGGCCAAGACACTGACTTTGGTTCCGTTCTCGTGCCTATTGTTGAAGATCTCAAGGACCTTGGTATGCAAGGTATGAAAGTCTACGACGCATATACTCAATCTGAAATAACTGTTCGGTGCATTTGCCCATATTTTTCTGGTGACATTCCTGATGTCAATAACATCTCTGGGTATTGTTCCCATAACGCTACAATGCCCTGTCGGTTTTGCAAATTGCTTAGAATTTCTAAAAGCCTGACAACCTTCTTGTTCATGAACCCTGGTCGAAATCCAAATGTCCCAAGAGACCGAACATGGTTTGAATCTATTGTCACAAAATTTCGTGATTTTTTCCTTTTTTCCAAAAAGGTCTTGACAGAAGAAGAAAAGGCACAACCAGAAATCAAGCAAGAAATTGCACAACATTTGCAAGACCAAAAAAATCTTTCTTCTCGTGAAGGTATTCGGTTTTACTCCCCCATTTTTGATCTTTTTTCTACTGTTCCTCCCTTTTGTTTCCCTCTCGATGCAATGCACTTATTTCTAGAAAACGCTTGTAAGAGCATGTTTTCCTACTTTTACGATGAACAGGCTCTCTCGTTACTTCCCCCAGATGACATGGCAACTCTCAAGGAAACTATTATAAAAACGAGAGCTTTTGATGGCTGGTGCAGCGAAAAGCTTGATCCTGAAAAGTTTATAGTAAATTCAACATTTGCTGGGATGAAATCAAACCAGTTCCTAGCTTTGTTGGACCTATTCCCTATTCTCTACATGGAAATCAAAGCAAGCCGTGAAGCATTATTGGTTTTTCTGTTTTTAAGTACTATTTGCAAGGCTTTACTGGCTCAGGAAATTGACTCTGGCTTTCTTCCTTCCTATGACAATATGATCAGAATGACTGTTTTTCTCTATGAGACGGTTTTTGTTGGCGCCAACACCGATAATGGGAAATATATGCCAACATTAACATTCATTCGCTTACGCATTTAACGGAAATGATTAAACAGACAGGTCCCATTCGTCCATTTTGGAATTTTGGCCAAGAGAGCACTTTCCAATGGCTGAGAACAAGAGTTCGAAACAAAAGACATATCCTTCTTAGTATCCAAAACCGTATTGCACGGTTTTACATTTTCAGTTGGCTGTTTCCTTCTGAACATGGTATTGTATATGGATGCAAGACTTTGCGAGGCACATCCAAGCTATACCAGGATGATAGGAAGACAGAAAAGGAAGTGGTTGACCGCTCTGTCATTGCCTTTTTGGCACGAGGGTCTTTCAAGAAACCTGGTGTTACACGCGAAAGCGTCCGAAACCAGGTCTCCTTGGAGTATTCTGGAAGTATGCATCTGGCTTCTAGAAACTCGACAATCGAAGAAGGCTCTATAGTTCTTTTATCTGCGTCAAGGGGGAACTCCTCTTTATGCTTTTTAAAAGTTGTTTCCTTTGTCACTTGTTCAGCAAAAGGCATACCACAGAGACTTGTGGTCGGCCATAGGATACCATTAGAAGATTTGCTAACCATCGACATCCCTACAGACTCGTTAGAATTTCCTTGCAATTCATCTACAGGCAAGAGAACTGCTCAGGAGAGGGAGGAGGATGAATTTTATGACAGAATCACAACTTGTTTTTATTACATTAACAAACTTCCTATGAAAAAGGGTGTTTCAACTTTCAATATTGAGCGGGTATCGCATCAAGTGTTTCTTTTGGAGAGTAGAAGGCGTGATAACAATGATGTATACACTTATTTCTTGGATAGTAACACAGCTTTTGTTCTTGGGAATAACAAGCGTCGCTTTGACAGAGTAGTTTCGATTTTCCAAAGGGAAGAAGACTTTAACAAGGACATTGCTACACTTCTAAGACGTTCAGACAAGTAAAAAGGGAAGTGTGCCGTATGGTCTCAAAAAAAAAAAAAAAAAAAAAGATAAAAAAAAGATAAAAAAAAAAAAAAATTTTTTTTTATTTATTTATTTATTTAAATTCCTAAAAATATATGTTGGATAGCTTGAATGATTTCATTAAAATTTTTTTGAAAAATGTTGACATCATTGGTAATTTTTTTTTATTTTTCATGGGCAATGAACTTTTGTTCTAAAAAAAAAAAAAAAAAAAAAAGCGGCCTCCTTCAATAGTTTCCTAATTCTAAAAACAGTTAGTTATAATTATCTTCTTCTTTTTCTTTTTTTTTTTTTCTTCTTTTTAAAAATCTATTCAAACATCTTTTTATTTATTTATTTATTTATTTATTTATTTACTTCTTAACCAACTTTTCATTTACTTTTTATATATCACTTATCATATCAGCTTCTATTTATAAATTCTGCGATAAAAAATAAATTTTTTTTTTTTTCAGGCACAAGCAACCTTAAACGCGTGCACACACGCGCAATATGACCAATAAGCTTAAATAGACATTTCACGCGCGTCACTTATTTTATTTTATTTTATTTTATTTTATTTTATTTTAATTTATTTTAATTTAATTTATTTTAATTTATTTTAATTTAATTTATTTCAAAATAAAAATATATACGCGTTTTGTTTCAAAATGATGTGCACATGTGTGGATTGTGTAATAATAAAATTTTTTTTTTTTTTTTTGTTACGATATTCACTTTATTCCGTTCACAATCATCCCTCGTGAATAGCTTAAAAACCTTAAAATTTATCCTTGAAAAAAAAAAAAAAAAAAATTTTTTTTGAAGGCTTTCTTTTAATTATGTCAAGTGCCCACTTACCAGATATAAATTTAAAAGAAAAAAAAATTTGATTTTATTTTTAAATATTTATCTTTTTTTTTTTATATTATTTATTTTTATTTTTTTGTAATTACTAAATCAATTGGCGTTAACCAGGAATCAAGGCTTTAAATTAATAAAATATAAATGAGAGAGTAAACTTTTTTCTACATTAAAAGGAAATAAATAAATAAAATATAAAAAAAAAACACCTTTTTAAAAATCAAAATGTATCAATTTTTATTTTTTTTATTTTTTTTTTACAAAAATGCTTCATTCTTTTAAAAAAGGAAATTCTCCTTTCACCATTATATAATAAGGCAATAAAAATGGGAAATCACAAAAAAATAAAAAATAAAAAATCTTTCTTTCTTTCTTTCTTTCTTTCTTTCTTTTGGTATGTGCCTTAATATTGTCACTGACTTTCAACAAAAGATAAGAATTTTTTTTTTTTTCTTTTTTAAAATATTATCAATCAATGTTTTTTTTTTTTAAAGAAAAAGTCGCTTAGATCTTCTATTCTCAATTTTTTTTTCTTTTCTCTAATTAAACTATCCGTAATATCCATTTTCTCCCTCTTTTTAAGGAACTTCCATGCTTAGTTTCAAAATAAATTATTCTAACCAAAAAATTTATTTTTAATTTTTTTTTTTTTTTAAATTATTTAAAATATATAATTATTTATAATATATCCTAATAAAAAATAATTACTATATTACGTAAAAAAAATTAAATCCTTTTTTTTTTTTTCTAGGAATATACGATATAAATATATATTAATAACTAACCCTACAAAATATTCAGAATAGCACAGCACAATGCTTGGCTAATTTTTTTTTTTTCAAAGGGTTAACTGTTCAAATATAATTTTCAAAGCAAAAAGGAATTGTCCATCCAAATTTTCAGGAATGTTAAGATAACGAGGCTAATTGATTCTAATGAATTCTAATGAATTCTAATATAATTATAAAAAAAATATATATATGAAATTCACGGCACCAATAATGAGGCTAATTAGTTATAACTATATGGCCCAAAGTCCCCTCCCCTTCTCTCTTTTTTTTTTTTTTTTTTTTTTTTTTTTGATTTTTCATTTGCAACAACAGCCACAAGCATCTTTTTTAGCTTCATCGGAAAACATTTTAAAGAAATCAGACAGGTCCCTACAAATTCTTTGTGATTGAAACATGAAAGCGAGCCGTATTATCAATATTAAAAAGAGAACGGTCAAAATTGATATTATTATTAAATATAAATAAGCAACCAGTCTTTTTTTATAGTGATATATATATATATATATATATATATATATATATATATATATATAGGTATAGGTATAGGTATGTATATATATATTTCCCTTTTTCATAAGCCTCTTTTGAAAGACGTAAACTTTGTTAATTATCAATATTCAAGTTTCATTTTTTTTCTCAAAAAGGGAATACCAACGTTCTTTGCAACTAATCTTTAGCAGTGCATTCATTAATATGACTGAAATCATCATTTTCTTCAATGTCAAGTTTTAATAGTGCAAAACACTTAGTGTATTATTAAATATCATGCTTAAGTAACCTATGTCAATTTGTACACTATTAATGGTAAGTGTACTACCACCACCACCACCACTACTACTACTACTACTACTAATTTTCCCATACTGAAGTATACCATTAGTAACTTGGATAGGTATGCTATGTAATATTGGTACAAAAAACTGACAATCAGAATCTTTTCCGGAAATATCTTTAATCCGACCGGAAATCTTCTTGAAAATACCGCGAATTTTGTCTTCATGATTGTCATTCTTTTTATTTAATTTTATTTAATTTTTTTTGTTCTTGTCTTTTACTTTAATCAATTAAATGAAATTGGGCCAATATTAAACAGTTTAAACACTAAAAAAAAAAAAAAAAAAAAAAAAAATAAGACTTATTTTTTAGCGAGCACTAATATAAAACACAATCTTCTTCTTTTTAATCCAATTTCTAAAATAATCAGCCGCCTTTTAAATGTTGAAAAAAAATAAAATAAAAAAAAACAATAACAATCCATTCTTTTGCTTTGATATTTGAAAATAGAAGCGGTTCAAATAAAAGTTTCAACCATAAATGAGACACTTTTCAGAGACAATTATATTTTTATTTTATTTTATTTTATTTTTTTTTCCCCCATATGAACTGAATTTTCCTTAATCTCTTTCTGTTTCCAAAATGACAAAATGATAAAAAAAGAAAAAAAAAATCAATTCAAATAAGCATATCTTGAAAACAAAATTTACCACAAGAACCAAAAAATAATTCACTTGAGGGGTTCGTTGCGACAGTGATGATGAAAAAAAATAAAAACAAAGTTTATTCATAATATCTATACATATGCCGCCGCCATCAGCTCCATCATCACATTGTAGTTATTCCACTAGGCACCAGGAACAAGCAACCATGTTTATTTATTTAATTTTTTTTTTCTTCTTCTTCTTTCAGAATCACAATATGATTCATCTAAATAATTAATCGCATGAGAAACCTGATTTAAACTGATTCACATTGAACACGATGAACTGAAAATAAGATAAAAAATAAATAAAATCAAACTGATATAAGATTATCAGGCAAAAGATGGATCTATAAGCTTTATTTTATTTTATTTTATTTTTTTAATTTTTTTTTTTGATATTTTATCATTGATATTTTTAATGGTATTATTTTATGGAAGTTATTTTATAAAACTTCCAATGATATTAAGAGATCAAGAATTAAGAGTTTCCATGCAACCACAGTTTACTTTTTTATTATTATATAGTAAAAGTTTCATTTTTTTTTTTTTTATATTAATGAAGAATTGTCAACAAACTAGAAGGAAAGAAAAAGCATTTCATCTGATTCAATTAAATTAACGTGCATATCGATATTGATATTGTCATATTGAAAATGAATAATTTATTGCTTAAAGATTTAATAAGGGAATAATAATAATAATCATAACAAGAAGGTTTCATTTCGGCTAGAGCGGGCTACTAAACAGTTTTGTTTTATTGGCAATTAATACAGAAAAAAAAAACTTTCCACATCATTTTTCTTTTATTTGCTGAATTTTTTTTTCTTTATTATTAAATTCTGATTCAGATCTCTTTTTTTAATTTTTTTTTTTCTTTCAATGTTTCATTTTGGATACCCGTGAACAAATTACAGTATTCGCAACGATTTTTTTTTTTTTTTTTTTTTTTTTTATTTGGATAATTCGTGATATGTTTTTAGGTATGTAAAGTAATTCACGGAAACCGGAGCAATATGTAAAAAAAAAAAAAAAAAAAAAAAGAGGTATCCATATTAACGAGAGAATTTCAAACAGATGACAATAAATTTGATGTATGGTGGCTGAGAAGAGGCACAGGGTATTTTTCTGATTTAAGACTGAGGATACAAACTGATAAATTTTTTAAAAAGGAATTTTGATATACATCACTTGATATGAATCTTTACAAAATAATGTATAACCTTTCATATGACCATTTTGGGTATCAATGTATTAACCATTAAATAAATACATGGTAATGGTATGGACATGAGATTTAAAGAAGAAACAATTAAGAGGTGTTTGATAATATACCATTTAATTTTTTTTTGTTAACTTCTTGTGTTATATGAAGGGTAAGGGTTGGAGATATATTAAAAAAAAAAGATTACCAAGCATGTATAATCATTGACTTCAGGTGCCACTACTAAATCTAAATCTAGGTAGTGATTGATGGAATATTGTTTTTTTTAAAAGTGAATTAAATGATTTTGATATATCCTTGTAGTTAGATCTTTTCATGTTAACCATTTAAATTTTTTTTTTTTTTTTTCGCATAACAATTACTATTGATGCAAATCAATAATTTTGTAAAAAAAAACTTAGATCTTTGAATACTTTGACAATATGCATATTTATGCCAGTTTATACCATGGTATTACTACAGTTCTTGATAATTTTTGTTTTTAATTATTATAGTATTAGAAACAAATACATTTATTGATTCCAAGTGAAAAAAACTATTTTATAAGAGCACAAGTGAATAAGATAACGACTTTTGGCTTATTGTATTTTGGATTAAATTTATATAGTACCCTTTTTGTTTTTGATTTTGTTTTTGATTTTGTTTTTGATTTTTTCCCCATTATTAGTTTAGCTATTCAGAATTTTGATAAAAGTTCAGAGTGTCTATTAAAATTGTATTATTTATTTTCAAAGATCAGCTCAAGTTCAAATTCTCAAAGAAAAAGCTCAAACACTGGGGTAATCATCCTAATATGGAATAAAACCATTTCTTAAGTTCAATTGACTTGGAACGTTGGTTAACTTCAACTAGAATTGATTTTCAAGAACCAATTAAACATATAATTTTTCCAGAGGGTATAATTACTTCATTGTTTTTCATCAACAATGAGTATATTTGATTAACTATGAATACAATGCTTTTTTTTTTTTTTTTTTTTTTTTTCCCATGCATTTAATATAGGTATTTTGTTTTTTTTATTAAAATTCACTAATCTGCTAAACATAATAAATACGTGTTTAAATAAATCTATTTGTATAGATATAACGGGATAGGATTTGCTTGAGTCTGATATTTTTTCATAGAATTTGTTTGTTTTAAAATTAATGAGATTTTAACAATTGGGTATAATCTGTATAGTTTAAGGACAATGGTTTATTTTGATGAAAGTTTATTATTATTTATGAGAATAAAAGGGTATTTTGTTAAAGAAAAGAAAAGAAAAAAAATTATGAAAGATCGAAGGACATTTTTTTTTTTTATTTTTTTATTTATGGAGTACGGTGAAATATAATAATTATTTTCTTATCAGGCTAAATATATGTTTTAATATTACTAAACATTACTCATCATTGACACATAATATCAGCCACACTGTGTCCTTTTTTTTTTTTTTTTTTTTTTTTTTTTGCTGCTGCTGCTGCTGCTGCTGCTGCTGCTTATAACAGAATTGGCTGCTGCCTTAACAGCTGGCTGCTTTAACAGCTGGCTGCCACTGCTGCTGCTGCTTTTGCTGCCTCTGAAAATGTTTGGCTGCCTCTGCCTTTTTTTATTTTTACAACAGCAGCAGTAGCAGCAGCATTAAATAAATCACCACGCACAACAACAAACAACAATAACAGGCGCAGCATTAACAACAACAACAATTACAATAGTCATATATATATATATAAGAATAATAAGAATAATAAGAATAAGAATAAGAAAAAAAATAATCAATGAATTAATTTCAATTGTAATATTAAAAAAACTATTTTTTTTTTCACAATATTTAGAAACTTAGTTTTACATAAATCAATTACAATAATGCTTTTTTTTTTTTTTTTGTATTTCTTAATGCTGATAGAAGTAGACTTTTTATATATTTTCAATTATTTATTAGGTGATGGTGATGGTGGCTGCAGCAGCGGCAGCATTAAAAATCCTCTTCATTTTGGTTGCATTATTGTATGTGTGTGTGTGTGTGTAATTGAACATTTTGGTGGATTTTTTTTTTAATTTTTATTTTTATGTAATTTACCACCTTTTTTTTTTTTTTTTTTTTTTTTTTTCACCGTCATAATCATAATAATCATCACCACCACCAAATTATCACCAAAAAAAAAAAAGGTTCTTTACTTCCTACTTTTTCCTCCTTCTTTTTTTACCTCCCTCCCTTCCTTCTTTCTGTTTGTAAAAATAAAATAACAAAAAAAAAAGTCCAGTTTTTGCATTCATCTCGCGTTATTTATTTATTTATATATATATATATATATACTCCAGTCCTACATTAATTCACAATTTCCAGCACTTAAAATCTTAACTCTCTGTGTCTTTTTTGTAGTCTTAATTTATACTATATATATATAAACTTCACCTTTCCCAACTATTCAAAAACTTATCTTCTAATTCTTTACTTCACAACTCAATCACACGCGCACTTTTCACACACACACACACACACACACATAGTCATCAACATTCACAATGGCTTCTGCTCGTCTCTCTGATAAAGAACTTTGTATGTTGCTTATATCATTTTACTACCATCATTCTTTCTAGAAACCTGTCAATACAAATATTGTCTATATATATATATATATATATATATATCTGACTGGTGGCTTAAAAGACGCCTTGAAAAAAAACTCAACTCAAAAAAAAAATCAACCACCATCAATTATACCCCCAAATATATATATATATATATATATATCTTCTTGTAAAATCATTCAAGAACCTTTCTATAACTTATTCCAACTTTAATTGGTTTTTTTTAAATATACCCATAATTATGTTACTGCTTCAATTGGACAGACTTTAATTTACAGGTTCAGCAAAAAAAAAAAAAAACACACCAAGACCAAAATAACATTCATTACTAACATTGTTCTCTTCTAGTCGAACTTAACGCAAAAGCCGTCACCCAGGGCTTCAACATTGCCCCCCGTCTCGATTACAACACTGTCGGTGGTGTCAACGGTCCCCTCGTTATTCTCGAAAATGTCAAATTCCCCCGTTTCAATGAAATTGTCAACCTGACGCTCCCTGACGGCTCCACTCGTGCTGGTCAAGTCCTTGAAGTCCGTGGTGACCGTGCCATTGTCCAAGTCTTTGAGGGTACTTCCGGTATCGATGTCAAGAAGACCCACGTCGAGTTCACTGGCCAGAACCTTAAAATCCCCGTCTCTGAAGACGTTTTGGGCCGTATCTTTGACGGTTCTGGTAGACCCATTGACAATGGTCCCAAGGTCCTTGCCGAAGATTACCTCGACATTAACGGTTCTCCCATCAACCCTTACTCCCGTATTTATCCCGAGGAAATGATTTCCACCGGTATCTCCGCCATTGATACCATGAACTCCATTGCCCGTGGCCAAAAAATTCCCATTTTCTCTGCCTCTGGTCTCCCACACAATGAAATTGCCGCCCAGATTTGTCGTCAGGCCGGCCTTGTCCGTCCCACCAAGGACGTCCACGATGGCCACGAGGAAAACTTCTCCATCGTTTTCGCCGCCATGGGTGTCAATCTTGAAACCTCCCGCTTTTTCAAGCAGGATTTCGAGGAGAATGGCTCCCTTGAACGTGTCTCTCTTTTCCTTAACTTGGCCAATGACCCTACCATTGAACGTATCATTACTCCTCGTCTCGCTCTTACCACCGCTGAGTACCTTGCTTACCAGACTGAACGCCACGTCCTCACCATCTTGACCGATATGACCTCGTACGCTGATGCTCTTCGTGAGGTTTCTGCTGCCCGTGAAGAAGTCCCAGGTCGCCGTGGTTACCCCGGTTACATGTACACGGATTTGTCCACCATTTACGAGCGTGCTGGTCGTGTTGAGGGCCGTAATGGTTCCATTACCCAGATTCCTATTCTGACCATGCCTAACGATGATATTACCCATCCTATTCCCGATTTGACTGGTTACATTACCGAGGGTCAGATCTTTGTTGACCGTCCATTACACAACCGTGGTATCTACCCCCCAATTAACGTCTTGCCCTCTCTCTCTCGTCTCATGAAATCTGCCATTGGTGAGGGTATGACTCGTAAGGACCACGGTGATGTGTCTAACCAGCTTTACGCCAAATACGCTATTGGTCGTGATGCTGCTGCCATGAAGGCTGTCGTTGGTGAGGAAGCTCTTTCCAATGAAGATAAGCTTTCTCTCGAGTTTTTGGAGAAGTTTGAAAACACCTTCATTGCCCAGGGCGCCTACGAAGACAGAACTATCTTTGAGTCCCTTGACCAGGCTTGGTCGCTTCTCCGCATTTACCCCAAGGAGTACCTCAACCGTATTTCCCCCAAGATTCTTGAGGAGTTTTACGAGCGTGAGCGATCGACCAAGGATACCGTTGACGGCACCCCTGAAGAGAATTTGATTGACGCTTAATCCCTTTATTTTTTTTTTGTTATTTTCGGATGTGATTTTGAAACAAAAAAAAAAAAAAGAGACTTGTGATGATGAAAGAAGAAGGACTTGAATGAACTTTAAAGAATGAAAAAAAAAAAAAAAAAATTTTTTTTTGTCAATCTTATTTTTTTTTGTTTACCAATTGTTTTAATTCCCTTTTTCAGATTTATCTCACTTTCATTTTTTGTCGTCTTGTTATATCCAAACCTTTCATTCTTTTTTTCTTCTTTCTCTCTTGTATTCCTTTGTTGCTTTAATATATATAAATAAATAATTATTAAAAAACCATATATTTCTTTCAAATATTAAGAAATCAAAAAATAAAAAAAAAAAAAATCATTTTAAATATCTTAAATATTTTATTTAAATTACATAGCGATACAAGAGTCCCTGCTTGCCGCTCACAAACAAACTCCCATCCCGTGCACTAAACTGCGCATCTGCTGGTGCTGCTGCATCAAACCCAGCCAAAAATGTTACATTTTCAAGCGATGCAAACTCTTTCTTATCGCCAGTTTCCTCCAAACTTGCCCAAGGAACAACTACACTCGACAATGGTGTCGTAATTGCAACTCCTTCACTACCTACTGCCAATGCAGTCACAGTTGCAGTTGCAGAAGCGCAAACCTGTGTTAATGCAACTTTACCCAACGACTCCCGAGTTAAAGACCCCAAATCCCATCCCCCCACACGACCATCACTCGTACCAGTAACCAGTTTCCACAAAGTATCACTCGTACCACTGCAAGTCACCACGGCACTCGTCAGCTTAACTCCTGGCGGGGTCACAGGGCCCACAGTCGTAATATGTGCACGAGAATATAAATCATAAGCTGAAATATAAGCATTGTCAAGCACCGGATGATGATGTACCACAATTACGGCTTTACCTCTTGTTTCGTAGTCAAACAAGTGATCCTTTTCTTCTTGTTCTGTGGCTGGCTGCATGAATGCTGGAAGCGCGCTGGTGGGCACAATCAGCACCTTATCGACAACCGAATCTACTGAAGGCCCCGTCACAGGAGAAGCAGGTGTAGGAGGGCTAGGAATTTTAATTGCAAAAGTGTGTACTAGTTCCCCGGACCCTGTTTCCCAGAGCCGCACGGTACCATCCGCTCCTCCTGCCGAAACAAAATTTCTCCCCGTAAGTGGAGCAGTAGCGTCCTCTGTAACTTCTGTGGGTAAAACCACCAGCGCCAAATCTGTGACAGGACTTGCGTGTCCGCGGAATGTGCGAGGATTGGATCCATCCACGGCACTCCACAGCTTGATTTGCATGTCACGACCCGCTGACAAAACAACTTCACCAGAGGGGAAAAACAGTACCTTGGAAACAGATAACAAATGACCTGGCTCAAGGATTCTGCGCGGACGCAAAGTTTGCGCATTAATAATGGTGCGTGGTTCATGGCGAAGTGTTGTTTTAGAAGAAGGTAATGGCTGAATGGAGCCAATGAGAAGCTTACCGCGGTCGTCACCACTTGCGTATAGTTCACCGTGGGGGCTTAATGCAAGTGCAGTGTTATCTTCAGCATTGGATCGCAAAGCACGGTAAAGAGATTGTGACAGGTCCGAGAGCAAAACTTCTGCTCGATATTTTTCAATGACTGGTTCAAAAACTGTTGTGTATTTCGGCCTCAGGGTCCCAACCTCGTCCTCCAAATGTATTTCTTCTTCGTCAGTGGTATTGAGCAAGGCTCCGGCAGAAACCAGGGGGATTTCGCGAGCTAGGGGGAATGCAATGGTATAAACAGTAGTCAATGGTGGAGCGGAACCTTTACTCACTAGTTGCGAGAGATCAAGCTTAATGGTTGGAGATGAAATATTCAAAGAAGGTTCCCATGTCAAGGAGATCGGAGGTAATAGATCATCGCCACCGTCCCAAATTGGCGTGATTCCCTTTGATTTGACTGAATTTTCTGCTTCTAATTGGATATCATTATCATTATTATTATTGTTTTGTTTAGAAACTGTGATGGTATAATGGAAAGACTTTGCCTCTGCAGTTTCACCATTTTCTGGGAATGCTAAATATACGCTGAGCCAAAAGGATTCGGAATATGAGCCAGCTGTAGAGGTAGAGTGGTGATGCTGGACCTCGTGGATTGCATCAATTGCTGTATCTTCAACTTGGATACTAACGATTGGCATTGTTTTATGACTTAGTAATTTTTTTTTTTTTGGGTAGAGAGAGTGTGGCGAGTATTGAGAGAGTTTTTTTATTTTTATTTTTTTTTTTTTCAATAGTTGAAATGAATCACATGGGCTGTTTTTAATAATAACCACCACCCAGTTCACCACCATCACCGTTAAGGCCTTAGGAAAGATGAAATATTTGGTGACACCAAATTTGTGTTACATTTAGTTATTATTTTGTAACAAATATATAATCTTTTTTTTTTTTTTTTTTTTTTTTTTTCCCGAATAATTCCCCTTTTTAACATTCAATTGCAAAAAGTAAACAAACGAAAACATCTCGATCGGATCCTTTTAATTAAACATAAACAAAAAGACCGATCCCAGGCATCAAAAAAAAAAAAAGTAAAGGGCCACAAGAATGCCATGGCCTTTTGACGAAACTACACGAAAAGGTATGTGTTTGTGAGATATTATTGATAATTAAACTCTGAATCTAAAGACGCGTTTTTCTAACCCTTTCATAGATTACACTGTAGGCGACAATGATGGCGATTTTTCCATGGTTGCTGATCAGCTCAAGAATGAGATTCTAACACCGCTAAGCAACAAATCTTCTAAAAACAAACAAAATCTTCAAGCACCTCATGCTCCTCAGCGCCAAAGTACTAATTCTCTTCCACCGCTTCATTTCGATGCAATTCCACCCAAACAACAACAACAATCTCTTTATCCAAAGTTTAACCAACCTCATCTGCAACAATCTACGATACCAGAACCTGTGACACCGCTGCGGACTTTTACTCAAAATGCTTACGACGATCCTATTGGAATCATGAAAACACCGGGAACCGCAGGACGTAATAAGAATGTGTCTTTTGCTCCCGATCGAGGTGGTGGTGGTAATGGACAAATTGGGGGTGGATTTTCCAACGGTGGTATCCTTGGAGGGTTTGGCATGAACAATACTACAAATCATAACAACAATCACATTAACATTGATACTACTACTACTACTACTACTACTACTAATCATAATAATAATAATAATAATAATAATAATAATAATAATAATAATAATAATAATAATAATAATAATAATAATAATAACAACAACAATATCAACAATTTCAATAACCACATTATAGATTTATCCAAAGCAGCACCATTATACCAAGCTACCCCTAAGAACGCGCCATTACCTCCATCATCATCGGATATCTTAGGAATTAGACAAAAACTTAACTTTGGAGGAGACCGCGTGCAGGATCCGCGACGGCCGATTGCTATGCAAAAGAAACCAACACCTTCATATCCGCTTGGTAGGTTTTACTATGGCAATGTGAATGGCACAGGAAATGGTCATCAATATGGTAGTAGCAACAATAATGATCATCTTAATAACTTAAATAATAACAATTTCAACAAATTTAATGACATTCGCAATACCAACAATACCAACAATACCAACAATAATAATTATAATAACTATAACAACAACATTAACAATGATAATAACAACGACGGCGATAAATCAATATTTGACACAACCACAGGAAGTGCTAGTAGATTCATGGTTTCGTTGTTACCGGCTGGATTCCCAGGTAAACTTCCATCGAAAAGAACAGTACGTGCGAAAGAACGTCAAGATGCACTTGAACGACTAAAGAACGAAGAACAACAAAACAAGCAACAACCACAACCACTACAACAACCACAACCACAACCACAGCAACAACATCAGCATCAATACACCCAGATACAAGAAAAGGAAAATACGCGACCTACAAGCTCATCAACAGGAATTAACCCTCTCACGCGGTACTTTGGCAACTATAATAGTACGAATCCCCAAAAGAGCAAAAAAATGATCAGTAGAGAGACACAAACTTCGTTTGTGCAGGAAGAAAATAAACAGGAAATCACCTCTGAAAAACTTGCACAAATGAATGAACAGTCCAACAAAATGGCATTGATTGAACAACTTTTAATGCGAAACACTAGTGACTTGCGAGCTTTTGTTCTTTCTGAAAATACGCGTGAGGGAGAAAAACAGAAAGAAAAAAGCAAATCTTCAGCACGAATTTCAGAGCTTGAGCGAGATTTAGAGATTTGCGCCCAATATCTTCAAGAAATGATTGTTGAGCGAGATAATGCGGCTGAATGGGGGTACCAAAAGGACGAAGAATATAATGAATTGAAGCATAAACTTGCTCGACAAATGAAGATCAACACTCGACTGATGAGGCGAATGGCAGATGCTGGGATCTCGATGGATGAGCGTGGAGAAATTCAGTTGAATGCCCAAGGTGTCAAGGACGAAAACTTGGTGCTGATACAAGAACTTGACGAAAGAGACAAGGAGATTGATGGTCTGAGGAAGCAAGTGGAGGAGTTGAAGAGGTCACAAAGAGAAATGTTTATTGAGCGGCAAGAACATGAGGGGTTGATTGAGGAGCTGCAGCGGCAAGTTTATGAGAGTGAGAGCAACGGTAAAAGTAATAATAAAGATAATAAGGACGATGAGGGGAAGTTGATAATTTTACATTTTCAAGAATGTGCAGTGATTTTGGAACATCTTTCTCAAGTTGAGCGCACAGAGGTGGTCAAGTACATTTACCGCAGCAACAAGTATTTGCGTGATATTGAGAGGCATCTTGAGCGGCAAGCTGTTATGGAGACTGGAACAACGACCACAAGGAGGAATATAAGTGAGGAAAGGGAGGCATTAGAGCAGGCTTTAATGAGAACAACACGGCGGATCAAAAGCCGGCTTGAGCGGCTTGTTGAGTTGATAAAATTGGGAAAGAAGAAACAACAAGGAATAGGCCAAGGAATAAGTCAAGGAAGAAGTCAAGAAACCAATAACCTGAATGGAAAAACAGTGATTGACTTTGGGGATATAGTGAGGGAGTTTAAAATGATTTCAGATGAGTTGTGGGATGTATATACTCAAGCTACGGGACTCAAGATTAGTTGAGCATATGGGGATGATTGTAGATGTTATGAAGAGGTTTTTATAGACATTTTTTTTTTTTAAACAAAAGCAAATCTAATACTGGTTAAAATTATTTTTTAAAAAAATAATGAAAAATAATGAATATTTTTAAAAAAAATGATGATAGTTTATGATTGAGTTTGAATGGAGGAACGAAGACGGGCTAATGAAACTACTTTTTTTTTTTTTTTTTTTGAGCGATTGCGGAAAAAGGGTGAATGCGCCACTAAAAATTTAAGCAAGAGGTGCAGAAAAGAAAAAATACGGGTAGGAATACACATTTTATTTTGGGCCAATAATAATTCAAAGATGCATCAGTATAGTGTGACTTTTTTTTTTTTTATTAAGGGCACGAGTTAGACATCATTTTGATTTAGGCAGAAGAGGATAAAAATATTGAGAAAAAAATGAATTAATTTAATTTAAATAATTAGGTATTAATTTAAGCATATCCATAATGAAACAAAAAAAGAGAACATATAGCATGTTTATAAATTTTTATGTAGTTGATAATAAAGGGTACCAGAAACAAAATGTTAAAGATGAGAGATTGAGCACTTGTACAATTTGAAAGTTTCATTTTTATTTATATTTATATACATGCTTTTCCAACGATTGATTACATGGTTTATAGATGATTAAATCAATAAACAGAAAAAAAAAACAAAGAAATCCAAAAAAGATAAACACATGGCTTATTATTTTTTTTTTTTTTTTGGATTTTTTTTTCTTAGATTTATTTTAATAAAAGTAACAAAAAAATACAAAAAGCAATGAAGGCGTTTTAATATATTTAAAAGATCGTTTTACTTTTTTTTTTTAATTTGATACTAGATAATTGCAAAATAATGAGGTTTTATTTTTGGTGACGACGAAATTCCATTGATTTTTGACGATGAAAAAAAAAAGACGAGGGATTACGAGGTAGATAATACCAGAAAGTGGTATATTAACAATAGAAGAAGAAAATAAGATAAACAAAAAAAAGAGAGTTGAAAGCAAGAAAATTTTACAATTAAAGATAACTTTTTGAAGTAACTGACGTGTCTTGCAGTAGAATAAGAGATCCGAAAAGGAAGAGGAAGATATTATAATAAATAAGAGAGGGAAGTCATCGTGCTTAATATCAGAAATGAGCTATAAAGAAATGCTATTGATCAAAACAAAACAAATAATAAAAATGGATAACTGGTTGTCATGAGAATGAAAATGAGAATGAAAATTGAAATGAAAATGAGAATGAAAACAAAAGAAATGAATGCAGCGTAAACAAATAGGATTCACAATGGTGTAAGCATTTTGATACATCATAAAAATCAAAAGAATAACAAAATTAGATAATATTTTGAAGTAAATGGAAAGCTTCTGCTAATTGTATTAATAGTAATTATTATTATTGTTATTTTAGAACATGATACGTATTGAAAAACTAGAAGATACAAGAAAGAACAAAAAAAAAGGCCGTTTTAATAGAAGATATACCAATTAAGCACAATAAGAAAGAGCAAAAGTAAAAAGGAAAGAGAAAGAGTAAAATGATTTTGATTTCATAAATATGGAGAATAGTTTTACAGAGATTTGCTTAACAAGTAAGAGTGGAGATTGATGAGATAAGATCAACTGGTAATATTATTAATTTTTTTTTTTGGGAAAATTACTATCTAGCACACATTTGTACAAAAAAAGCTACAGGCTTCTAAATACTACGGGTGATGGTGTAATGTAATTTGATTGTAAGCCTATGAAAGTAAGAAAGAAAAGGAAAGCAGTAGGTATTTTGTTAATATTTAGTATATACGCGGGCATTTTTTTTTGATTGACAAGCAGAATAAGCCTAATTTAATTGAAAAAAATGAGTCATATGATTAGAAATTGATCATTTAGAAGAAAGAAAAAAAAAAGAAGGAAACAGAAAGAATATTTCTAGAATAAAAACTAATAAACAAAAAAGCTGTTTGGATAAAAGAGGTAAAAATGACGTTAAAATGAGATTATGAAAGTTAATATTTTTCATATACTTTAGAAAAGTAGAATATTAGAAGAGAGAAAAAAAAAGATGAGAATTATCAAAAAGCAATCATAAAGGTATTTAAGAGGTACGGTATGAAGAGTATATTAAAAAAAAAGTGAGTCCAGTTTTTATAAAAAAAAAAGAACAAAAAAAACAAAAACAAAAAGAGAGATAATTTTTAAACATTGTGCTTGACTGACTTTTAATGTCAAAATTAAGAAGTGAATTGAAATATAAAGAAAGAAAACCTGCTCTGTAATTAAATCAATGATTAAAAAAACAGGAAAAAGAAGCAACTTACACAAAAAATAATTATCATTATTTGAGCCCAGATAATTTTTAAAGATTCAATCTAAAACATCTTTATGGGCAAAAAGAAAGACTAGAACAAATTTTTTTTTTTGCACATTATATTTTTCTTTTTTTTAAAAAAATATATATATATTTAACGAGAATAAAACAAAAATTTTATACGGGAAATGGCGGGAATTGTATTTGCTTCGAGCTATTACTAGTAGAAAATACGTGGATTTTAGCTTTTTTTATTTAATTTTTTTTTTGGTTCGGAGCAACTACCTGATTGGCTAGTGTAAGGAATACCATCAGATAAAGCCTGATTAGGCAATTATTGCGAGAAGTTTGTGTCACTCGCCTATGTATGAAGGATTATTGTGATGGGTTAAGGCATTGTTTGTGATCATGCACAGTAAAAGGAGGTTTCTTGCCGCAGCCGTCTTTTTTTCGATAGGAAAGGAAGAAAAGCAAGAGCAAGAAGACAGAGAAAAAAACAGGGAGGGGCAGAAAGGAAAATGATGCTTTAAAAGTATTAGAAAACAAACGAATTGATAGACTTTTATTCATAATTTTTTTTTTGTCTGTCAAGTTCATCGAAAAAGGAGCTTTTTTTTTAAAGTGGTATACTTCATTGCACTATCATCTGTGTATCTGTATAAAATTGTATGAAAGAGAGTGCCTGAAAACGTAATTTTGAAAATACAATAACATAGTTCAAAGCCTTACTATTTTTTATACACAGATTATTCCGAAGAAAATTGTAAGATGGTGTACGGAAAAAGAGACTAGTATCTAAGTTGAAGCCCCCCCCCAAAAAAAAGGGGGGAGTGGCAGTGTGTTTGGATGAATAGGAGAGAGGGGGTAGATGGCAGGTTGGAAGAAAAAAGTAGCTTCGATGCAAAGGTGGATAATAATAATAAGAAAATGTTTTAATTTCTATTAATGAAAATAATTGCATCAAAGGGAATTGATATGTTAATTGACCTCTTTTTTTATGGTTATTGCCTTTTTTTTAATTTTTTTTTTAAAAAAAAATACTAACCTTCCGGGCTTGTGGATTCACCAAAACCGACGGAAAAACAGGTGGGGTCATTTGATAGAATAGGGAGGAGGTAGAAGAGAGGGAGGAAAAGCCAAGCCATTATTATTATTAGATGAGTATTCCTGATATTAATGATTATTTGACGGTTTGAATGGTTTGGCTGGTGGTTTTTTGAAAATCAAAGCTTTTGTGTTCCAATATCAAAATTTTTTTGATTTGATTTTTAACGGGATTTTTATCAATCAATCAATCAATCAATCAATCAATCAATCAATCAATCAATCAATCAATCAATCAAATCAAATCAATAATCAGATCATCTATATTTTTCCCACTACCACCAAAAATTATATACAAATCTCCACCACTTACAAAAAAAAAAAAAAAAGATTCTCACTACCACCTGAACACTTTGAATATATGCTTAAGATTCTTTTTTTTATTTCTCTCTCTCTCTCCTACCACACACTTTAAAAAAGTCTTATCAATCAACCAATCACCGCGGCTCCCAACCTCCGGAAACAGAGCCCTTTGCTACCCTTTTTTTTTTTTTTTTTAGATGATGATGATACTATTTAATAGAGTACCCAAAAAGTTACATTAGTATTAAAGAAGAAAAAGGAACAAGACGAAGAGAATATTACGCCGTTCTTCTTATATATATCGGCATTTCTTTCTGTTTTTTTTTTATTTTTTTTTAAAAACACCATTTATAGTTAACTTTTTTTTTTACAACAACATCGTTAGCATTCGTAGATAGATATACATATATATATTATATCATTATTATAAATAATATATATATATAAATATCTATCCATTAAGTCTATCATTTGAGTTGGAGAAAAAAGAAAAGAAAGAATCTCTCCATCTTATCTTTTTTTTTTTCTTTGTTTTTTTTTTTTTTCAAACTTTGCAACATTTTACCTCTCTCTTTCTCATTGACTTAATTACATTTCCCCCCTTACTCTTATTTCACTTTCTTTTCGCTCAATATCAGATCTTCATCATTGTAATTATATTCTCATGCATTCCATACTACAATGGCAACAGTCAAATCCATTGCCGTCATAGGAGGCGGTCCAGCAGGTGTCATTGCTGCAGAGGTTTTTAGCAAAAACTCGGCAAAGTATCATAAAGTTCGTGTTTTTGAAAAACGCGATAGTGTTGGGGGAGTCTGGTAAGTTTATTTTATTTTTTATTTTTATTTTTATTTTTACTTTTACTTTTACTTTTACTTTTATTCTTATCTTAGTTCTTTTTTTATTCAATTGTAATAAATCATGTTCCTTCAATTAACCTTTTTTTCTTTCTTTCTTTTTGTTGAAAAAAATTCATTTAAAAAGGAACTACTCGGCAAATATGAAACAACCAACTTATATTCCATTTGGTCCAGACCTGGATCATATAGACCCAATCCTCACTCCTCCTGATGTTCTTCCAGCAAGAGTCAAATCCACCCCAATAGAACAATGGCTCGGGTCTCCAGCATATGACGATTTAAAAACAAACGTCACAAATAAAGTCATGTGTTTTTCGGACGCTCCGTTCTACCCAAATGAGCCCTCATTAAAACAACAACAAAATTGCATTTCAAATAATAACAATGATTTTCATTATGATCGGTTTGTTCTTCATTCAAAAGTTAAAAAATATCTAGAAGAATATTCAAAACCAGCAAGAGAGTTGGGTCTTTACGTTTTCAACACTTCAGTCGAAGAAGTCCAACTTATTAGCATCAATCCTCCAAAATACAGGTTAACACTCAGACAATCCACTTCTTCACACCAACAAAAGACAGATTACTGGTGGAGTGAAGACTTCGATGCCATTGTGGTTGCATCAGGACAATTCAATGTACCTCTTTTACCTGAGATCCCCGGTCTGCCCCAATACTGGGCAAAACACCCTGAGCGATGCATCCATTCAAAATACTTTAAAAATAACCTTATGTATAAAGACTCTGTCACAGTGGTTGTGGGCTGTGGCGTCAGTGGCAACGACATTACGCTACGTGTGGCCAAGACAGCTCGCAAAATATACCAAAGTAAGCGCAACCCCAGCAGGTGGGAAAAAATACCCGGCTACAAGTACCCAGAAGGTGTTATTTTCAAGCCTGAGATTGCAGAGATTCTTTCTGATGGCCGTGCTTTGTTTCAAGATGGAACAAGCACGGAGTGTGCTCCAGACTACTTTATCTTTGCGACAGGGTATCAACATGACTACAAGTTTTTGCGGAAAAACTTTCCTGGGATTCTCACAGAAGACGACAAACTTGCAGATGTTTTTCTGGGGACCTTTTCCATGCGGTATCCTAACATGGCATTTATTGCAGGAGAACGAATGGGATCTTGGGCAGCATTTCGTGCATACGAATATCAAGCATGTGCGATTGACGGTGTGTTTTCGAGACGCACGCGGTTACCTAATTATGACTACATGATGCGCAAAAACAAAGAGTTGGAAGATTTCTTGCAACGCGTTGAGACGATGCCATTTCAGTCAATGTTGATTGTTCGCAAACAAGCAGTTGAGTTTGCAAAGTTAGCTGGAGGCTTTAGCCGGGATAATGATAATGATAATGATAATAATAAAACGAAAAAGAAAACGACTACAAGCAAAAAGAGTAGTTCTTCATCGTCTGAACAACAAGTTAACAAAGCACCGAAATGGACTCATGAACTAGATGTGGAGTTGCTTCAAAGTTCGTTTGATTACTTAGTGGAGTGTGTATTTGAAGGCGAGTATCCTGACCAAGACAAGATTAATGAAATTTGTCGGTTATTATCCGTGCCCATGTTTTCACCTCAAGACGACGCGATTTACGATAAACAATAATGTGTATTATATATAAAAGTTTTTTTTTTTTTTTTTTTGTTATAAACAATAATGATTGCATTTTTTTCTTTTTTTGTTTTTATATAAACGCATCTTTTTGACTTTTATTTTCAATTTAAAATTCTTTCTTGCCTATTTTCAAATTCAGTATTATTAATCTCCGAGGCCCTAGTTGATGATGCTGTAATTGGAGTAGTACTTTAATCACATGACTTTAATGCTTTTGTATGGCCAGCCAGCCTCTCTGTGCCACTCCAGCCAGCCGGCCAGCCATCCAGTCAGCAAAAAAAAAAAAAAAAAAAAAATTGGTTGTAAAGGCAGCTGTTTAGTTTGAACCCCGCCTTTACATTATAAATTTTTTTTTTTTCTCCGCATATTGAAAAATAACACACACACACGCACATTGAAAACTTTTACTAAACACATTACCAACAAGTTTCCGTTCTTTTCTAATAACAATATATTTCTATTCACAAAGATATCTAAAAGACTATTATCATCATATATCTTTTTAGAAAAAAAATACCCTAATAGATACTAGACTACCCTTCACATGTTCTTATGGACAGAACTCTGTCTGAATCTTCATCTACAACATCCACCCCCACTTCGTCCTCCTTTGTTGGCCATAACCACCACCAAATCTCTCTTGATCAACCATCCACTTCATTTTCTTCTTCTTCTCTTTCTTCTACCAACCAAAGAATATTTTATAATACCTTGGAGTCGACGACGACAGCTTCTTCGTACTTGTCTCACCCTCTAGTCCCGGTCTCATCAGATTCCGCTACGGACATCCCACAATGAACAAGATCCTTACACAGACATTAACAATAGTAATACCACTTTTCCATCTGAGAAATTAAAAAAAATAATGACAACATCTTCTTCAACATCTAAAACTGGGGCTTCTGTTATTGACTCTTCAAAGTCGACTAAAGTTTCAGAAGCCCCCTTTTCTTCTACAACCACAGACCACGAGCCACAGTCTCCTTCAACTCAAACCTCCGTGCAGAACAACGGAATAGCAGCAACAGGAGAAGGTGACTCTGCTTTTTATGATGGTGCTGCTAGTGATGATCATACACTTGCAGCAGCAGCTGCAGCAGCAGCTGCATCCGGATCTTCGGCCTCAGATAGCTCTGCTATTGCAGAGTTTTACAAACTTCCACCGCAAGAAAGACGCCGACTCAAGCGTCTTGTCCATCCGTCTAAGCGGAAACGTATAGCTGTAGCTTGCGACAGTTGTAAGCGCCGAAAACAAAAGGTATTTTGAAAAGAAAAAAAAAAATTATCCTTCTTTTTTATTTTTTCAAAACTAACAAAAGCTTCTTTTTTTTTTTTTTTTTAATCTTAACTATTAATATAGTGCGACGGAAATAACCCATGTTCGCTATGTAAAGAACGAGGATTTGAATGTGTTTTTTCAAAGCCGGTTCCAGATCAGCGAATGCAGGCCTTAATTCCACTCATCAAGCGCCGAAGAGTCTCTAAAAAAGCTGTTACGGAGCCTGGCTGTAGCGGAACCGGATCAGCCACTGATACGTCACCCGGCGAGGCCACTGGTCCCAAAGTATCTACAACTACAGTTTCTGCTCAACAACAACAGCAGCAGCAGCCTCCAAAAGACTCACCGGGTCATTCAGGCAATTCAGACTATTCCTCTCAGGCATCACCAAATATCCAACATCACCAGCGACATCTCCATTCTGATTCTGCTTTACCTGTGTCTCCTTCACTTGACCAGCCCTTGGCTCTCCACCACTCTCCAACCACGACAGCTGTTCGCCGCCCAAGTGTGACGCAAACAACAGTTCCACAACATTCCCTAACACCTCCGCCCACCACAAACAACAACAACAATAACAAACTGTCCGGGACTGGCTGTGTTTTACCAAGCATTTCAAACCACTTTAATCATCCCGCAGCTACTGCTACTATTTCCACCACAAATGCAAACCCCATCGGGTCTGTTGTCGGATCTGTTGTCGGCTCCGCAGAATCAACTGCAGCAATGCTCGCTCACTCGTCACCATCTCCTGCAAGCGTTGGTTCTCCTAGCTCTCATTCGCTTTCGTCAAATTCCCCATTAACTCTTGGTGGACCCGCAAGTCCTTCTAATACTGTGACTTCAGCACCTCATCCTCCGTCTCAACCTCTCCAACAGCAGCAACAACAGCAACAGCAGCAACAGCAGCAACAGCAGCAACAGCAGCAACAGCAGCAACAGCAGCAACAGCAGCAACAGCAGCAACAGCAGCAACAACAACAACAACAACAACAGCAGCAGCAGCAGCAGCAACAACAACAGCAGCAGCAGCAGCAACATCAAGCAACATTCTTCGCTCGACCTCAACAGTTCCCAACATCTACAACTATATCTCTACCTCCAGTCTCATCAAACCTTCCTATCCCTTCTCCTCAAATCAACAATAGATTTCCAACATCGTCATCTACTTCCTCTGCGTCCATGCCCATGCCATCACTCCATTCGGTCCTGCTATCCACGCGAAACCCACTCAAACCGCCAGACTATCAGGTAGAGTCAGTGGGTGAGGGAAAGGATCCGCGTCTGCTTTATGACCGCAAAACAGGCAATATGCGATACCTTGGCGAAAGCTGCACACTTTCTCTTGTAGAACAAATTCGCAGCTTATTCCGCCAACGGATAGGCGAGTCTGCCTTCACAGAAGATCCTGAGCGGTACATTATGGTTGACGGCCCTAAATTTACCGTTTCGCTTATCCCAGTGCAACTTCCTTCTAAGAGACTGACAACTTACCTTGTTCAGGCGTTTGAAAAGCATGTCCAACCAACGGGATTTGTTCTGATGTTCCCTCAGTATTGGCGCGACGTAGATCAAATCTACGAAAGCCCTGTTTCGGCATCAAATTCGCAACTGTGTCTTCTTTACTTGGCCATTGCTCTCGGCGGTGTTTACTTCACCACTCCACCAATCGAGGTCAACATTGATGCAGACACGGCCCAAGAACTTCAACACATCAACTTGGCTTCTTACTTTGAAAGTGCCTTAGGATATCTTCGCGACTCGTTTGAGGACGGCGATCTGTGGGTAGTCCAAGCGTACTTTATGGTATCGCTTTATTACGACGTCATGTGCAAGCGCAACGCATCTTGGGTGCAACTTGGTATCTCGATTCGCTACGCGCAAGCTCTGGGCATGGGCCGCAAATGGATTGATTTGTCCTTTTCACCAGTAATGCAGGACTACCGCAAACGACTATACCGAACCCTCTTTCTTCGTGACCGTCTCTTGTCTATCTACCTGGGCCGGCCCATGGCGTTTGGCAACGACGAGCTGGAGCAACACGTCATTGAAGACCCCAAGTGTAAAGACGACGAAGCACAGATCCAAATGGTCAAGTTGTGTCAAATTATTGGCGACATCTGGAACAATGTCTATCGCTCTCGGTACATTAGCAGCAGTACATCGCAGTCCCTTACTACACGACTTAAAGCCTGGTCGGCTTCATTTCGTAAATTTGCATGTGATACCGCCGTGGAGCAACAAGAAAAAGAGGAGGAGCGGAAAATGAGAAACCAAGATCCCGAGTCTCCAAGGGCTACAAATAGTACTTCGACCGGTTCCAATACTGGTGCTGCCGGCTCATCCATAGGAAGAGAACCGACTCCAGCCACGGCTCATGATGCTGGCATCATTGACGTATCTCACAGAATCCCTTGGGACCAGCATCAACTGCTTAACCTTAACATGACTTATCTCCACGGAATTATCCTGCTCACACGGCCTTTTCTTTTTTATATGGCTGCTCGCCGGTCTTCTAGTACAAGCTCACTCGACCCAGACGCTATCCGGACACTTGAAAACCTGGCATCTAAGTGTGTTCAAAGTGCCTTGACTTCTGTCAAGCTCATGGAAAACACATTTTTTAATAACCGTCATCCTAAACGCTCCACCCTCGTGTCTTATTTTATTTTCACTTCGGGCGTCATGCTTCTTCTCCGCGCTTACAAGTGTATCCCGTCGGAACAGTCATCACTTTCCATGGGCATTTCGGGCAGTCTTAGGATCCTTTCGTATTACAGCAATGTGGATCCATCTGCTAAGCGATTTTGGAATATCCTAAAGGAAATGCACATGGCTGTATCGCAGCGCCAAATTAGTCTCATCAATAATAATACTACTGGTGAAACGCCCAGAGGTAGTACCTCATCGTCGATGCACAACAACCCCAAACAACCACCAGATGGTAACAGGCACCCTTCACAACAGCAGTCCAATGAAAACAGCGGAGGGCAAATGCCGTCGGGTGATGTGCCAAAAGATGTGCGATCGCTTAGTGCTGGTATGCAAAACCTGCAATCAAAATTAAACAAGCAAGGTACAACGGACCCGTCATTTAGTCCCGTAGATCAACAAGATCAACCAACAGCAGAGGCTGCAGACTCACCAACGTCTTCGTTCATCACTCGCACACCATCATTTGTCACGCGTATCATGACTAGCAGCTCGGTGCCAACGCCAATTGCTGATAGCCCTCTTGCAAACCCGCCAAATGGAGAAATATACTCAAGCTCAGCTACTACTTCAAACCTTGGTACCTTGTCCAATGCTGCGGCATCGGCGTCAGCTACGACGACTTCCAACCCGTCTATACCTGCACCTCTTGCACACAACGTACCATCTATGACGGTTTCTTCTGGCCTATCTAGCGTCCCGGTGCCCATGTCTGCAAGCATTTCAAGCTATGCTGCAACTAATGGCCATGCTGCACCCACGACTACAACATCAAATTCTACTCCAGGTATGGTTGCTGGGAGTGCTGCGCCGTCACCATCTCTTGGCCACCCTCTCCCACCATTACCCATGAATGCAGGTGGCAGTCCAGCTAGTTTGTTTATGAACATTGAAGAGATTGATTTCACAACAGGTGAGCTAGACCAGTGGCTGTTTACATCGACAGGCCCCGTGATTGATTCGCTACTAAATGGATCAGCAACTGCGGGACCTGAGGGAGCGCCTGTGGTATCTCCAGAGGGTCATACTACAGGAGTGTCTGCAACAGGAAATAATGACGCGCCATCATCTCCAAAACAAGGCAAGAAGCAAATGAGCCGACCTGGGTCTATGAGCGAGAATGAAAGATATTCCACGCGTGACAAACTCAGTGATAATGGGGTGGCGCAACCACAGATGCAGCACCAGTCTCAGCTAAACCATGTATCAGAACATTCACAGTCGCAACATTATGCACAGGCGCCACAACAGCTACAGCAAAACCTTACCGGGTGCATGGCAAGTGCTGGTACTCCACCAGGACAGGTGCTGAATGGAGGTGGTTGTGATACACGTGTGGGAACGACAACTAGTACTCCGCTACAGCCGGATTACTTGTCACCTGAGTTTGATACGATTCGCGGGTTTCTCATGCATCCTGGGTATTAAACATTAAATGACGATTTCTTTAGACAAGTGCTTTTTAAAAAATAATTGCGTGTACATTAAATTCAAGTTTTTTTTTTTCCAGTAACTTTTTTAGTCTAGTATTTTAACTAGCATTAATACGAGATTTTTTTAATTCTCTTTTTTTTTTAAAGAATCACTATGAATTGATGTCAAATTATGAAATTTTTATAAAAAGACGAAATAGCATCAAATTGTCATGATTGCCTAGGCCAAAAAAAAAAAAAAAAAAAAAAAAAACCATTGATTGAATCAGCCAAATGAAAAGGTCTATAAATACCCAAATAATTTCTTATTAAAACGAACTTTTTTGTTTTATTGTTCAAAATTTACAGACATACATAATATATGATAACAAACATGAAGCTATTACGTGCTGCTGTCGTAGCATGCAACTTGATACCATCCGTTGTTGTTGGAATCTCTATTAAAACCACTCTAAATTTCCCAGAAACCCAAGCGCGGGTAGACGCACTCATGGCCGAAGTTCAGGCTCACGAGAGGTTACAGGCTGAAGTTATTGCACAAGCAGAGGCAGAGGCTCACCGCGTGGACGCTATGATTGGAGCAGAGATTGCAGATGCGCTTATAAAGGCGAGCCAAAATGGAGGAAGCATTGTTGAATTGAGTGACGAGCACTCTGTGCGATACTACCCCCCTGTACGAGCACAAGAAGAATCCATGGATGAAGAGAAAAGCAAAAAAGAGGAAGAAGCGTACAGTGAAGAAGATAAAACCCGACCGGTGAAATTGCCCCAAGAATACTTTGCCAACGAGGACGAGGATAGAAATTTAAATGATGCTGTGCTCAATAATAAACAAGCTATGGAAACGTTGGAAAAACTAAAACAGGAATACTCTGATGACTCATTTGATGAAGAAATGAAGAAGTATATTGCTGAACAACGTGCTGCAGCAGAATTTAAAGAAGAACATGAGTCCAACGTAACGGCCATGGGAGTTTTGGATGACCACGCACACCGGTTTAATATTGACCACAAGACACTTGTTTTTTTGGCCCGCATGGCCAAGTATACACAAATTTCTTACTGTGTGGAATCATTAGAAGATATTGAGTATCCTTTCATTTGCCGCATTGGGTGTACGCAATTCCCTACAACCACGCTACTAATTCAATGGTATGAGCACGGTATTTTTGGACGACCTATTGCCGGGTACATGGCAGTTGATGATAAGCGTAAAGAGCTGGTAGTAATGTTTCGTGGAGCCATTTTCCCCTCAGATATTGCAAACAGCTGGAACCTCAGACAAACGCCGTTTGTGCCAGCTCATTACACCATCCAGCCGACCCAATGGCGAGCCAAATGGGCTGCCAAATGCAAGGACTGTAAAGTGCAAACCAGCTTGTACCGTGCATATCTCAAAACTATGGGCTACATTTCGGGTCCACTTCACGACGCAAGGGCCGCATACCCTGGCTACCGGATAGTAATTGGGGGTCACAATGTTGGTGGAATGATGGCTGCACTAGCTGGGGTTGATTTAAAGATGCAAGGATTTGATGTTACAGTTGTTACATTTGGAGCAAGCAAGTATGGGAATGCAGCCATGACGCAGTTTGTGGAAGAGTTGTTTGGACTGGACGTTACGGCTACCTTGGACATGTTTTCTCTTGACAAGAATCGGTTTTACCGGGTCACACGTCGCGAAGACCCTTTCACCCACTGGCCCTACATGCGTTCATACACACATACTAAGGGAGAGGTGTATATTTCAGATGAGCTTAATCCAATGCCTGGAACGGATGTGACCTTTTTCTGTTTGGGAAGTAACTCCAAGTTTTGCTCATATGGCGATCGCGTGGATTTTGAGACTTTGTTGCTGGCTTTGGATGCTCACTATTATTACTTTGTCCAGTTTGCTGGGTGTGCGACATTGCACTCTTATTTGCCTATTTATCAGTTGATGCCTCCTGCTCATGAAGATGATCCTTATTGATTTAATTTTTCTTTTTTTTTTTTCAAGTTAAAATAATGTATGAATAGTTGAATATAGTTGAATAAAAAGTTTGAATGTTTTTTATTTTGTATTTTGTATTTTTGAATAGCCTCAAGCTTTAATTAAGGTAAGGGTTTGTCATGTGATTATAATAATGTACGGCTGGCTGTATTTATTTTTATGTGCTGCTGCAAATGTATGATTACTAAGCCTTTATCCCCACTCACTCATGCTGCCATGCCTCACCGCCTCACTAGTTTCCCCATAATATTTATTATTTATTGAAAGAATCCACTCTCCATCATGACATTTAACTGAAAATCTAGCAGCCATTAAAAAAAAAATTTTTAATCTATAAATATTGGTTTAAATTAACAACATATTTCAACTATAATTTAAAACCCTCCAAAAAAAAAAAAACGTCCATGATATTCTTTGATTGTTCATACTTTTTTGCTTTCTTCTCTCTTCTAAACAGTCCCAGAAATGCACTCACCCAAATACAGCCTCACCCCCCCTGGTCGCCTATGCAACCGAAATAGGCAACCCCTCCCCACCCCTGCTCGGTGCTTGTCCTTGTATGATTGCCTGCAAAACACAAAACACAAACACACGACAACCGGAACTTACCCTCGGAACTTTTCCAATTGTCCTGGCCTGTCTTGTCATGCCCTGACCGGGTATTCTTAAAAAAGAAAAAGCCCGTAAGAACAGTCATCAACGTCTTGAAACTTCTTTTTCTTCTATTTCATTCACATGATGGTACAACATCCACCATTGCCATGTCCTCCTCCAGTTGCTGCTCCTCCACTCCCGCCACCGGTTGAAAATTTGCCACTGACCGGCGATAGTAGTGTCTTCTTTTCTTCCTCATAATATACTTGTCCCTTACCATCGTATACCGCCCCATTTTCCATGGCTTGCCCGTCGTAACCTGCTATGAGAGCCGCTGGTGGGGCCGCAGGCAACCCGTCAGGCCCCATGTACGCGGGCTTATCTCCAAACACAGAAGGTACACAGTAGTCGTGCAAAGTCGGATCTCCCTGGACATTCTGTGTGAAGGCAACGAGAGACGAGCAGGCTTCGGAAGCAGGGATGCGTTTGAACGAGAGCTCCTTGCGCAGTCGTGTGTTGAGTATGGTTTGTCTTCGCAGTTTCAAAGTGGCTAACGCGTCTGCTTTACGGTCGTAGGCGGTAGTAGTAGTAGTAGTAGTAGTAGTAGTAGCAGCAGCAATAGGAGAAGACTCGCTAGGAAGTGAAGGCTGAAACTGTTTAGTATTTAGAGAAGGGTTCAAATTTGGGACGCTTGTTTTGTGTTGCAGTGTTTGAGAACTGGCTTGTGTTCTGAGTGTTTGTTGTTCCTGTTGATTATACTGTTGCTGTTGGTAAACAGCATTCGAGCCCTGAGAATGCGAGTCCATTTGATGGTAATATTGTGTAGTTGAAGAAGTCATTTATAAAGAGTTTTCAAGATTGTTATTGAATATTATTAGTATATTAGTATACAAGTAATTTTTTTAAAAAAAAAAAAATTAGTGTTGTGTGTAAGAAAAAGAGTTTATGATAGCCCTTGTTCTAAGCTTAAAAAAAATACATAGTGTGTAGGAGGAGAATTTAATATTGTTGATATGATACAACCAATACCAATATTTGGAAGCTACCGGCACAAATAAAATCCACCAAATTACTTGGAATTTCTTTTTTTTTTTTTTCTTTTTTTAAGGATAGTTCCAGAAAGCAATGGCAATTACACAGTAAGTACCTACCAACATAGAACCTTCAAGCCAATTACATTCACCGTCCTGAACAATGTAGTTAAGCATAAGAACCGACACAAAAAGAACACAAGTCTCAAAGGTGGTGAAAAGTAAAGACATGGGCTGATTGATGAACCAACCAATAATCACACAGAATGGAGTCAAAAATAAGGCAATCTGCATCGATGAACCAATGGCAACACCAACAGCAAGATCCATCTTGTCCTTAGTTGCAACCACAATGGCAGTAACGTGTTCAGCAGCATTACCAACAATGGGGATCAAAACAACACCAATAAAAGTCTTGGAAATACCTGTCTCAGTAACAATCGAATCAATAGAATCAACAAGATAATCAGCACAGTAAGAAACAACAACTGTAATGATGGCAAGAAGTCCAAGAGCCTCCCAAGTAGACAAAGTAGAAGAGGAAGGAGCAGCATGGTCATCAGTGGACTGGCCATTGACAACAGTACCATTCTCAGAAGTCAAAAGAGGAGTAGTCTCACCACGCTCAGAAACATCGTTATCATCAGAGTTTTCGGACATGCTCTCAAAGTATTGAGCATGGGTCTTAAGTTGGAATATAAGGTACAAGGTGTAAATGATGAGCAAGACTAGTGCAGTGCCATGTGACACGTTGAGCACAGCTTGATTGGCCTTCTTACCAGGCTTGCTTGGGTGAGGATAAGACGAGTTAAAAGCAGCAGGAATCAAGAGTGAAGTCACAGCAAGAGCCATGAGTGATGACATGGTCTGAGCCACAGTTGCATTAAACTTTTGCTGAATTCGGTTGTACCCACCAGCAATGAAGGATGATCCGAGAACCAACAGTGTGTTGGACAAAATAGAGCCAAGCATAGAGGTTTGGACAATGCGGATTTCACCACGAGCAAGAGCAACAATGGCCACAATGAGCTCTACAGCGTTACCAAAAGTTGCGTTCAAAAGACCACCAACAGTCTCGCCAACGTGCACAGAAATTTCTTCGGTCGCGTAGCCAAGGAGTGCAGCAAGTGGAATGATGGCCAGAAAGTTGAAGAGGAAAACAGCCTTGGCTCCCCATGACAAATGGTAGGCAAGAATACCCAAGGGCACAAACACAAGCAGCACGTTAACATAGGAAGACGCAAAAATGTTGTGAATTTTGCGCGTCCAATTGCCAGTATGAATATGGGCCCAGGCCGGTCGCGAAGCCTTAAATGCATGAATACGGCGCAGCAAGAACGCAGTTTCGCTTAAAGTGTCTGGCTTGTTTTTAGAAGACATGATTGAAGAGAAACAAAAAGAAAGAAGCTCAAATGATTAAAGAAAAAGTTTGCAATAATGAAAAGTTTTATTTGCGGGATATTATTCGATACATATTTTATTTTTCTATTTTATTTTTTTTTTTTCAAAAGAGGTGGGAGTGCGGGTCTTTTTATGCTTTTTTTTTAAGTGGTTGTTGTGACCAGCAAGAATTTTTTTTTATTTTTCTCAGTGTATTTTTTTTTTTTTGAATTCCTACAAAACCGCCCCGAAATATCCGTCCAAGGTGAGCTGCTAAAGCCAAAATATATGCTTAAGCTTATTTATTTACATTCAACCAAACTGGTCATCATCAGACTCAGCCTCAAAGGAATTCGCATCCAACCAGATATTTATACTTCATTCATTTTGTATATATATATGTATATATACTATAAAAAGATATATATTCGAACAATTCAATAGACAATTCAATGATAATTAAAAAAAAAATCTCTCATACAACAACTTCCATTTTAACTCTTAATCAAAATCGCACGCTCTCCTGCCATCCTGCGGCGCGGTGCCCGGTTCATGTGGTCTAACCCAAGACACTCATTGTCTCCAATCTCTGCAAACAACTCCATGTCCTCATTGTATCCCGTAGACCCAGGACCATTCTCTGGCTCCGCGTCATACACATAGCGCAACACGGGTCGCACAGACGATGACGTAGACAAAGATACACTTCCATCACTCGGCGTGGTCCCTGAAGATGAGTTGGTAGTATTTGTTGTTGTAGTCGTTACTCCAGTCGAAGGAGTAACACTTCCTTCATACCCATTGAACGCATCGGTCTCTGCAATGTTGCCTGTTGTCGCGCGTGAGCCAATCGACCCAGTAGTACCAGTTCCTCCACTGCTACTTCCATTTCCAACTCCGCGGCGCACAATTGCAAACTTCACCCGCTCAAACACCTTGTCAAACATTCCCAGTGTTCGCTGAATTCGCAACCGTGTTTCACCGAGCTTTTCTCCGCGCTTCAGCACAAATGTAAAAGGAATTCCGTGGGTATTGCTCAAGTCGCGGTAAAAGTGAAACACTTCAATCAATCGATATTGTTGATGTGCTCCACCTGCTGGCGGTTGTTGCTGTTGCAGCTGCTGTTGTTGATCGTAATATGCAACCTCCTCATCACTCTGCAAACCAATACACAGTTGCTGATAACTCTGTAATGAAATTACTGGGAACTGCGGCAGAAGTAGGTCTTCAATTCTATGGCCCTGAACCAACCACACCTTGATTTGCTCGCGGTCTTCCGGCTTCAGACCATCAACCTTACCGGGAAGCTCTGCAACAACATCTCCAACTGTTGCAGTCTTGGGAAGAAGACTCTCGTGTCGCTGTTCGTGCATAATACCTTCCTTGGGCAGCCACAGAAACTTCACGAGCTTCTTAGTCTCAAACTCGTGCAAGCTCATTGTCAAAATATCGTAATATAAAATATTCGAATATGAATGGTTCTGGTGAAGAATATTATAAACAGTGGCTCCACCAGAATGCTGCTGATGACCATGCCCGTTAGGTCCTCGGCGTACAGGCGCAATAACCTGTCCTTGAAGTGTTGAAGTGAAAAATTGCAAATGCGTAGCTTCCACACCGATATTGGCTGCAACCTTAGCTGCCATTGTGTCGTAAGAGGCATTTTGGTGCAGCCACAGCGACAAGTTGGGAATGGGTTCAGCAACATGTTTTACAATGCCGTCTTTTTCTGCCTCAGGGTCCACCCGATGGCGGAAAATAACCTGCTCCCGGTGAACCAAAAAGTCATAGTACTCTACCGGTGTGCGGAACTCGTCTGCAGGAACCATAGCGTCAAGCTCTTCCTCGGTGTATTCGCGTTCAAATGTAATAATATCCGAATTGACGAGCTCTGCAGAATTAAACGTAGCCATCTCAACATCAACAGGCTCAATCATTTCGGGCTTAATTTCTTCCCACAGCCGCACACCAACCGTTTCAGGCCAACCCATAGCTCTGCGAATTACAGGCAGCAAAGTGGAAGTGGGGTCCTCTGAATACACGGGATACGACATAATGCCTCGCAACGTTTGTGTGGCAGGATCAAAGTACTTGAGGAAAAGTAGTAACCGCTCTCCACGAACGCGGTCCTTGGGCGCATACATGGCACGCGCATCACACCCAAAAGACTGAAACTGCTCCTCAGAAGGAACTTCCAAAAAGCAATTCATCTCAGATGTATTATTGCAGTGCTTATAAGCAACCTTTTCCATTGTAATGTCGTAACGGTCCATAATTGGCTCATTCAACCGGTAAGTGTGATTATCACGGTGAACCATTGACCACAATCGAATTGATCGTCGGTCCAGGTTGGGGTAAGTAGCTACCAAGTGGTCCAGAACCTCGCCAGGTGTGCTCAGCTTGCTGATGCGTAGCTTGTCTGCATGAGCCTCGGCCGGTTGTTCTTGTTGACCAAACCCAGGGCCCTCATTCTTTACTGGAAAAACTGCCAAGTCAAATGCTGAATAGTTTTTAAACTGGCGCTCAACGGTCCCCACACGCAAAGTCATGTACAAATGCTGCTCCTCCTTTTCGCGTCGGCGCTGCTGCTCTTCAAGCTCAAGTTGATGCTCGCGGTTGACAATTGTTTCAGGGAGTTTGGCGTCAAACAAAATGTCATGCAATTTGGATTTGCGAAGGTAAACAAGCATGTAAGCGCTATTGTGGCGCCAGTAGCTGGCGGGCCGGGTAGGAGAAAGTTTAGAATCTGTTGGTGGAGGATCACCGCCAAAATTATCGTCAAGAACCTCCTTCATCGTAACTCGGGTGACCTTGTCGTCATCAAACTTGTACCAAGGCCCATCAGCTGTTGGCTTGAGCAGAGCATAGTAATGGCCCACATTAAGATCACCACAATGCACAAGGACACCATGAAGCTCATAAACATACGACTCGTTGGGATCGCGCGAGTCCTCATCCAAAAATGGCGATAAATCAACCTCTGTAGGGAACTCATATCGGTCGTTAATTTTGATTGTGTCGCCACGCATGGGGTCAAACTCATAACGCTGGAGTTGAAGATGTAGCACTGGTGGGAAAGACTTAAAAACAACACCCTTTTTGGCATCTTGGAGACCATATCCAGTAGCCATGTATTGGTTTTCACCATCAAGTGTTTCCACCTGGATATAATCCTTAAAGGAATCTTCAAGGTTTTTCATACCCTTAACATTGAGTTGAATATCCCAATAGTCTTCAATGCGCGAGCTTTCAAAGTCAACATTAACACATTTGATGTAAGACTTAAACTGGCCTACAAACATACGGTTTAACGCACCCTCAACCGCAGTTCCCTTCATCTTGCCTTCAAGATTGTCCATGAGCACACGATTAAGTTCTTGGACATCATGCTGAGTAAAGGCATCTGCAGTATCCCAACCAAAGGATTTTGTAAGCTGTAGAGTACCAACGGGTGCTTCCGACGTGTTGAGTTGTGCAAAGACGCGTTGCAGGGCATAAGGAATGCCGTCGGTTTCGCTGTCTGTGGGGATTTGGAGCACAGCATCGCGGAACGAAGTTGTAAAATAAAGAGATTGAAGAAGAGAATTAAGATAGCACGTGGCGCCTTGGTTCTTGAGACCCGTAAAATTTGTTGCGCGTTTAGAATTGTAGTTGCGCATATTATGCCATAGAACGCCAGTAGGATCGTTCACAATACGAATGTAGACGGAAAAATTAACCTTGTTGTTAGAGATGATGGGGGTTTCGAGAGGCGATTGTTTGACAAAAAGACGTCTAAGTTCGTGAAACTTTGAAAAGCCCCAGTCAGATTCTTCTGATGTGAAACGGTGGTTTGCAGAATTGTATGTAAAAGACGTAGGTTCTTCAGGGTTCCACATGACAATGCCAAACTGGGCACAAACTGCCCATTCTTTAGGTGGAGTGGATGGTTTGAGCTGCTGGTTGATGGAGGATGGTGGGCCATCAGTTTCTGAAGATGAAATTGCATTTTCGTCAAAGGGCTCAGCTGCTAGGTATACAGAAACACAAGGTGTGTTATTGCCTTCAGGAAAGAGGTATAAACGCCAGGAATAGTCTCCTAAAACAAAGGTGGGGCCGTAAAGCTTTTCAGGAAGAGCGCCCCAATCCTTGATTTCCCAATGAAAAACTTGTTCCGAGTTGGTTGTAATATCTGCATCGTCAAGCTGTGGGAGAAGCTTGGCCTTGAACGCTTCTTCTATATATATAAGAAAAAAGAATGAGTTAGCAACACATCAGTTGAAAATAACGAGAAAAGTTCATGCATACCATCAATGGCTGACTCAGATGGGACTGATGGAGTTGTTCGCTCAGAGGTGTCAAACTCTCCGTCATATGCCGCAATCTCCTCAATTTGAGTGTCGTTTTGTTCCTAAAGAGGGATAGAAAGACGAAAAGTTAGTTAACAGACTAATTTAAGAGGCATTTTTATCACAAAATGGAATCTATAGTGTCTCTTCTTTAGAAATTACATACGAGATCCATGATTGTGTATATGAAAAGTTATTCTATAGATTTTTGGTGTATTTAATAACAATAAAAAAAAATCCCCGCGAAAGAGGTCTTTTTTTTTAAAAACAATGAGTGGTGGTGGTTGTAATAAAAATTTATGACTAAAGACAGAGTAAAAAAACTTCTCAGTCTGCTGCTGCTGCTGCTGCTGCGGTTTCCCTTCAGTCTTCAAGCCTCCTTTTTCTAGTAATACTTGTTTTTATTTTTTTACTATGAAGTGGGAAACTTCTTTAAACTAATTAATATATAAAAGAAAGAAACAAGAAATTAAAAAAAAAATTTAAAAAAAAAATTTAAAAAAAAAATATATAAATATGTGGTGGTCGTGTCAAAAGTTTAGTAAAAGCGGCAAGAGTGGGAAGGTTTATATGCGGGCAGGCGGTAGAGGTGCAAAAAAAAAATAAAAAATAAAAATAAATAAATAAAATAAAAGGAGGTACCTACAAAAAAAATCAGGATATATTTTACGTTGGTCAGACTGATGTTTACCACAGCAAAATGTTACAGGACTATGTCCCTGGATTATCATGGAAATGAATTAAAAAAAAAAAAAAAAACTGGGCAACAAAAAAAAAATATCAATTCATGAAATAACATCTTTTATATCTTTTTAAAATTAAAGTAAACTCTTGTTTGCTATTATCTGAATTTATTTTTCTATTTCAAATCGACATTATAAAGGGAATGCTCTTTATCTGAAATGGATCTATTAAGTTTAGTACTTGATTTGTATTCTACTAAAACCTTTCTATCGCTATCACTATGAGAAGCCATCTATTTAAAAGCCTCTGTCTTTCCCACCCCCTAAAAGCTTATAATTATGATATTCTTTTTTAATCCCGTGAGACAAAAAAAACTTTCTTTTATTTCCCACTTGGCTTTTTTAGCAATCTAAACACCAACTTTGCTCATCTAGTGTATGATACCATGAAAAAGTTAAAAAATAATCACGTGAGTTGAGACGGTTGAAAACCAGTAGGCCCTGAAAAAAAACGGTTCTTCGATATTAATTGTAGATCTAAATTAATTTAATTTTTTTAAAAAAAAAAAAACATATATTTGGAATTCATAAAAAAAACACTTTTTAAAATATATACTGTACTCTATTTCATCTCATTTTTTTTTTTTGATTTTCGTTCTCACGCTCTTCTTTTTCTTCTCTTTCCCAATGCCATTTAAAACTTGCGCAAAACTTCATAATACATCACGTTAATCTTGCGACCCCGTACAATAAAGTCTTCAACTTTCAAATCTTTAAAGTCATCAAAAGTATTTACAGGAACCACATCATCTTCAAAATCTTCTTCATCATACTCGCAATCATCGTGGTCATTTAATGGTGTCTTTTGTAAGTCAGTAGAAATTGCAATGGGTGCAAGGAAGGGGGACCTCTTGAAAAATTCAACTTGTTCAGTTTTAGGAGAAAGATCCAAAAGTTTAGAAACCCGCTGGCACATTGATTCATAGGTTGTCTGAGAATGCAACCATATCGGCAAATCCGGGTGTGATACGTCGGGTGGAACTAAATCGCCAATATCTTCTTCAACAGAAGACTTAAAAGTATTTAGCTGATCCTCTTGGTCGCTCATATCATCCTTAACAAGAATAATTCCTGTAGAAGTTGGGGTAACTGGTGTGATAGGAGCCATGGTTGTTAGCACAGGGATAGAAGACTCTGAGTGCATGGGTGTTATAGGCCCCACAGGACCGGCTGCGGCATTTCTGTGATTTTGTTCCAAAGAAATTGTAGCCGACGACGTGGAAGATGTGGAAGAAGTAGAAGTGGTGGAAGTTGACAAGGATCGGGGTCTAGGTCGTCTCTTTTGTCGGAAAATTACCAATACACGGTAATTCAAAAAGTCGTAGTACTCTTTGGCCAAAAGGTACCCCCCAGATGGAATCTGCTCAACTATTTCAGCACGTTCTGCAGCGGAATACTCACGCTCAAAAGTAATGACAACACCATTAGTGATTGATTGGGAAGCAAAAGAAAGTTCGGAAAGCCCCAGAGCTTTCCATCCAGTAGTGTTATTGCCTACCTCAACCCCAAGACGTATAGGTGTATTTGCTGGCCAATCCATGGCTTTACAAATTACAGGGAATAGCACTGCCAACCGATCCTTAGAGTAAACGACATAAGTGGAGATACCCTTGAGGCGCTGCGTCAATGGGTTGAAATACTTTAAGAAAAGCAAAATGCGAGTTCCGCGCCGCGAGTCCTGCTCCTTAAAAACGTTTTCCGCATCAAAGTGGCTTTCGGAAATGGTTGCTTCTGAAACGTACTCAAGGAAAATGTCGAGCTCCCGTGAGTCGAGATAGTTGGGATGACTTGGAACCAAGTCTTCCATTGTAACATCATAACGATCGCGAATGGGGCGACCCAATGTATAATAAACACGGGACTCTGGGTCGTTGTTGGTGCCATTTGTACTGTTATTGCTACTATTAGGGGGGAGTAATGTTTGGCCTTGCCGTCTGTGGCGAGTCACAGACCACAGCCGCACGAAGGCACGTTTCATCCCGGGGTAGATAGACATAAGAAGGTCAAGCAGATCTCCTGGAGTACTTTGCTTGCTGACGACAAGACGCTCTGCGTATGCCTCTTGCTTCTGTTCTTCTTGGCCACACTCGAGAGCCAGACCCTTGGAAGGGAATACAGCTATGCCCATGGCTGAGTTGCTGCAAAATTGCTCAAGTGTGGCTAACCGAATAACAACGCCCATATTGGTTGCAGTTGCAGTACTATCGCGCCGGCCGCGCCGCAGCTGGCGTAAGTGTCTTTGAATGCGGCGACGTTCTCGAGCAATTTCGCGCGAAGGGTCAACATAATGAGGGTTATCTGGAGTCATAGGGGAGCTATTTTCAGCGCCGACAATGTAATTGAGCATGGAAGTGCGGTAATAAACCAAAGTAGCTGCATAGCGCAGTGGGGGTTTTTCGGTGGTACCAAGGTTAGAGACGCCTGAGCCAGTACCGGTAACACCTCCACCTCCACCTAACGTTCCAGTGACAGCGCCATCTAGGGAAACGTCTAGGGTGGTACCGTCGGAAACGTGGGGGCCGGTTCCTGGACCAAAATTCCGGTCGAAAACTTCCATTCTGGTAGTGCGGGAGACGTAACGGCCATCAAACTTGAGCCATGGCCCATCTCTTCCAGTTTTAAGAACGGAAAAAAAATCACCATCTCCGGTTTCATCTTCGCCATTTCTGGTGACCACTACCCCATATAAAGTGTATTTGAAAGATTCAGAAGTGTGGAAAGGGTTGTGAAGTAGGTATGGAGTGAGGTCCATTTCCTCTGGGTAGTCATAGCGGGCGCGTGAAACCAAAACGCGCTGTAAAACACGGTCATAGAATAAACGGTTGAGGCGGATATTTAGAACTAAAGGTAATGACTGAAACTTTACTGCGCGAACAGCGTCTTGGCGGCCTAGGCCTGGGACCAAGTATTGGTTGTCACCAGTGAGGGCTTCTTCTTGAAGAAAGTTTTTAAACGATTCTGCAAGAGACGAGAAGCCCATGACGTTGAAGCTTAGTTCCCAGTAGTCGTCGACTTTGTAGTTTTCGTAGTGGGGGCTACGGATGAGGGTTTTTGTCTGTCCGGTGAAGATCCGGCGGTAGGAAGCCTCTAAATCGGAGTTTTTAAGTTCCGCCTCAAGGCTTTCAATGAGCTCAAACTGAAGCTCTTCAAATGTTAGCATTTGAGCCTTTTGAGGGGTCCAGCCCATAGCGACTGCAATTTCAGTGCATATTACTTGTGTATGGAAAGTTTCGAGGTTGGAAAAAAATGATCTAAGTAGGGTGTGTAGGGGTCGGAAGACGCCCGGCAGGGTTTTAGCGGGAACGATATCGATAATGTGAGAGCGAAAGACAGGTATTGCATAGAGGGTTTGCAAAAGAGTTGGTATTTTAGTGTTTGTTGATCCTGGGAAGATGACACCAATGTAACCGGTTTCCCTGCGAGAGTTGTAGTTGGAGAGGTTGTTCCAAAGAATTCCAGTGGGATCGTCAACAGTGCGGAGGAAAAGAGAAATGTTTATACGGGAGCGGGCACCAAGCAGCGGGCGCCAGCGCGCGTTGCGGCCTAAGAGGCGATCAGAGGTGACAAAGTTTGAGAACCCCCAGTTGGGTGAGCGGCGGGTAAGTCTGCGACGAGAGGCTTTGTAGATGCAAGATGAGGGTTCGTCTGGGTTCCACATAACGAAGCCGAACTGGATACAGATTGCCGAATCATCGTCAGAGTCATTTGGGTAGAGGAGAGATTTAGAAGATGAGGATGCAGTTGAGATTGTTCTGTGAAGTTGGAGATCGCGTTCGCGATAATATGGGGGGATTGCATCGTCATCATAAGACTCTTCTTCGCGCGAGTCCGATTTGAAGTCGGCTTCGACATAGATAGAAACGTTATTATCATTGTAGATTCCTTTTGGATAGAGCTGGATCTTCCAGGCATAACCATCTAAGTAGAAGGTAGGGCTATGTTGTTTTTCCGAAAGCTGGTTCCAGTTGTCTATTTCCCATTGAAAAACGGTTTGATCGCTGGTTGAGATTTCTGGGTCGGTAATTTTTGGCAAGAGAATTGGCTCTAAAGAGTCGACTAGAAATGGAAGAAGAAGATTGTTAAAGACAAGTTAAAAAAAAATTAAATAATATATAGGTATATATATATATATTTATATTGACATACAATCATGGGCAGATTTGATTCTATACATTGGTAATGGGGATGATAGAATGTGAAAAAGAGAATAGCAAGGATGAAGTTGGTTTGCGAGAGTTTAAAAATAGTGATGGTGTGAGTAGTAGTAATAACGAATAATACGCAGATTTAGCAGCGACACAAGACACAAGGCGATCTCAGACATGAGAAGGAAGAGTCTATTTTCAAAAAAAAAAAAAAAAAAAAATACAACCGATAAAAAAAAAGATAACTACAGCAGCAATTCTAAATAGAAGGTATCAAGAAGTCAAGATTTATTCTATTTTCTAAACTAAATAGAACCCGTCGTCGATATTTTAGGTGGTTTTGTGGGAATTCTATTAACCAAAAGGCTGGACAAGGCAAAGACGCGCGTGGACAGTTTTGTGGTTCGATAATTGTGGAAGGGTTAGGGGATGATGTTATATAAATAAAATATATATATAGAGAATTTTTTTTTTTTTTTTTTTTTTTAAATGGGTGATGTTACCTATACGTTACCGATAAAAAGCCGCAAAATAGTAAGTTACAATTTTAATTGGTTACCTGAAAGTATCTATTTTTAAATAACGTAAGCTCAAAAAGGATGGTCACGTCATCAGCTAGTTGTCATGTGGTCTAGACCAAGAGTCTAGACCATATCACGTGATTATGTACGGCATTACTTACGAACGGCTCAATAAATAATAATAATAATAAAAAAAAAGAAAAGATTGTTTCCATGGTCTTTCTTTTTTTTTTTTTTTTTTGTTGAAAAAGAAGTAAAAAAAAAAAACCTGAATGAAATATTGAATTGAAAATATATTTCAATTTTTAAAGTAAATAAATAAACTCAATTGATTGGATTCTTAAAGATTTTAAAAAAATAAAAAATAAAAAAAAAGTTCATTAATCAAACCCCGTTTAATAAAAACCCAAAAAAAAAAAAAAAAAAAAGATATGCCATGCTGGTTAAAAATTAAAGCCTTTCTTCCAAGTTTGTCTCTCAACAACCTTAAAATTGAGTCCGGACCAAACCAGGCAGGTCCTAACTTTACGCATTGCCAAATGAGCGCACTTGCATTTGTAAGACTGTGATAGTAAACACCATCATTCCAGCTTATTCATGCTCTTAAGGCACCCAGTCTTAAAGTAATGATGATGATGATGATGATGATGATGATGATGATGATGATGATGATGATGATGATGATGATGATGATGATGATGATGATGATGATGATGATGATGATGATGATGATGATGATGATGATGATGATGATGATGCTAATGATGATTCTAATAATGTTAAGTCAAATAGAATAAAAAGTCTACTCTTTGGTATAGTTATAGTCATTCATCTAGGCCTGTCTTAATCTTAATTACAAAGAACTCATCTTCAAGGTATCCAAAACGGGATTTGTACAAGCTCCGTCGACTTGCACAACAGGAATTCACCACGCTTCATCGATCGCCTGATAGCCTCGTGTAGAGCTTAGCAATCATTCAATGTTAGTAATTATAAGTTTAATAGTAATAGTAATAATAATAATAATAATAATAATAATAAATCCCCTCTTACTTTCTTTCTAAATCTGTCACTCCCCCTCATTTCTTCCATATAATAAAAAAGAAAGTAGATTGTTTGTTTGTTTGTTTATATGGATTTATATTTATAATAAAAGCGTTAATATAAATACCAGACCAAATCCCCCTCCTCTCCCCCTCCTCCTCCTCTCTTCTCTTCTCTTTTTTAACAATTACTTATATCTCAGCTTCTACTGGCCCAATTTTTTTTTCTTTTGCCAATTAGTAAACCCTCAACACAACCTTTCTTATATTAATCCAAAATAATACTAAATTTACAACAATAATGGCTTCTTCTCGCCTAGCAACTCGCGCGGCGCGCCCAGTTCTTTCAAAAACCCTTTTCTCGACCTTTGCAGCACCTAAGTCGTTTGGTGCCGCTGCAATTGCCATTGCCACTCGTCGTTACAATTCCTCAAAGACCAGCTCTTCGTCTTCGTCTTCTTCTTCTTCTTCTTCTTCAGGTCCAAAGACCCCTCCTCCTGAACCCAAGTCATCCTCCTCTCTCGGTCTAATTATCGCTACTGCGGCTGTCGCTGGTGGTGCCTACTGGGCTTACTCTTCATACAGTGCCCCCTCTTCAGAAGAACGTCTTGCAGCTTTTGCCGAACATGCAACCAAGGATGACTACCAACAAGTCTACAATGCAATTGCCAAGCGAATCCAGGATGTTGACGATGAACCCGATGAGGGCTCATTTGCCCCGGCTCTGGTGCGTCTGGCTTGGCACGCTTCGGGCACTTGGGACCGTACCTCTCATACTGGTGGTTCTGGCTTTGGCACAATGCGCTTTGAAAAGGAATCAACCACTGGAGCAAATGCTGGTCTGGATCGTGCCAAGATCTTTTTGGAACCCATTTCCAAGCAATTCCCCTGGATTTCTCACGGTGACTTGTTTACCCTGGGCGGTGTGACGGCCATTCAAGAGCTCGGTGGCCCCACCATTAAGTGGCGTGGCGGCCGCATTGACGGCGCCGAAGATAAGATTCCTCCTGATGGAAGACTGCCCGATGCCTCCAAGGGTGCAGATCATATTCGTTCGCTGTTTGAGAACCGTATGGGATTTACTGAAGGTGAAACTGTGGCATTGATTGGAGCACACGCACTTGGCCGCTGTCACACAAAGTACTCTGGCTATGACGGACCTTGGACCTTTTCCCCCACCTACTTTACCAATGACTTTTTCAAGTTGCTTGAGGATGAAAAGTGGCATGTTCGCAAGTGGGACGGACCTAAGCAGTACCAGGACGACAAGACCAAGTCACTGATGATGCTTCCTGCTGATTACAGCTTGGTCCAGGACAAGGAGTTTAAGAAGTGGGTTCACCGTTATGCCACTGATAACGACTTTTTCTTTCAAGAATTTGCCCGTGCCTTTAGCACCTTGCTGGAGCTTGGTGTCAACTTTAAGCCCAATACTCCCTACTTTGAGTTTACCCGTCTGGACGATCAGTAAATTTCAAAAGAAATAAAATAAAAAAAAAAAAAGGATTTAGCTTATAAACATATATTTTTTTACATGTATAGGGAAGAGTAATAATTACAAAGGGTATCATCATCGTCATCATCATCATTAATGTATAACTTTATTATATTTACAAAAAGGTTTCAACCTTTCTGCGGTATGCGCGACAGTCGCGCAGCCACCGCCGGTAATCCTTGAGAGATCCGATTTTCTCACCGTAATAGTCAGGGACGGGGTTTGCATAAGTTTGCTTGGAAGGATCAGGTCTGTTGCGCTGGACGTGTCTCAAGAATTGAGCATTTTTGTGTGCAAATTCAGGGAAAGACTTTCCGAGGGAAGCTTTGAACAAAAACGATCCAACGCTGGGCCCCAGCAGCGAGCCGGCGCCTGCGCACAGCAGCAGCCCCAGGGGGAGTACAATCATGGCATCAAATCCGAAAATTGGCTCAGCAGGATTGATTTCAATGTTGGCAAGTACGGCCCAGCCTGCCGTCATGCCGAAAAACCCAGTCACCACAGAGGCGGCCAGGTTAACTCGGCGTCGTTGCAGTCTCTTGGCCAGGAAATCGTTCCAGGAAAGAAACGCACCTCCAGAGCTCTGAGATGAATTGAGACGGCGGAAAATTGGCGAAGAAGAAGAAGAATTGGCGCGCAGCGCAGAAAAGAGCCCAGCGCGGGGTCCCGAAAGGCCTATTCGGAGCATTGTTTGGGGGAAAGATGTTGGTAGGGGTTGAAAAAAAAAAAAAAAAAGGGTTGTGATATGGTGGTAATGCAGGTTTTTTTTTTAAGAGTAAAAAGAGAAGGACTGAGAAGCAAACAAGGTGGAGAAAATTTTAATGGCATTGGCAGGTTGTGGTGTGTGATTGGCGAGCGAACCAGACTCTAACCGTTAAGAAATGTGTAACATATTGTTGTTGTAACAAGAATCCCGGTACAAGAACCGAATTAATCGGGTTGTCACGTGTGTCCCGAACGGCGCTATTTTTACTGTAGCCAAAAAAAAATTTTTTTTTTTTTTTAACAGAAAAAAAAAAATCTTCCAAACCAAAATATCTTTCAACAACAACAACAACGATTCACAAACATTCAAACCCATCTCTCATCCCCCTCTAACATTCATAACCAGAAGCACACAAAAAAAAAAAAAATTAAATTAAAATAAAATAAAATAAAATAAAATAAAAATAACGATGCCACGACTAGCTAAGAAAGCATCTTCAGGTCTCAAGAAAAAACCTACCACTCTCAAGGGATTGCCCTCGCGATCAGTCACCGAAATTACCCCAGGTCTTAAGGCCTCTGTACTTGCGCGCGAAGTAAATGAGTTTCTACATGCCCCTAAACTCACCAAAAAGGAAAAGCAAGCACAGGCTCAAGAGAAGCTGTTGGTTCGTGCAAAAGTGAGCGCACAGCAGGCTACAGGGAAGATTTCAAAGAAAGGTGAAAAGCAGCGGAGGCGGCGGCAGGCCCAGGCTGAGGCCTTTGGCGAACGTGTGGCCGGGCTACGTGACGCTCTGCCGGAGCTCGAAGACGTCCAGCGTGAGCTTGAGACTCGTGCAGCTAAGCGTGGGACTCGTGCTCCTACTGTCAAGACCCGTGAACGTGTGATTCAACACGACAAGCAGGTGCTTCAACACAATATTGCGACGCTAAGTACTACAGGTGATTCGCCGCTGGCACGGCTGGCCGCCATGAAACAGCAGCTGGCAAAAAACTTGGGCAAGGATGAAAAAAATAATGACAGTGTGATGGAGTAATAAAATATTTATATATATTTGTTTAATAAAACTACAGCTTATACTTTTTCTTTTCAACTTGCTCGAGAATCTTGGGGAGCTCATCAATCGATTCGCCTTCAAACGCAATGCGGTATGTGGCAGTCATGAGAGGGAATTGCTCGAGCGCATCTTGAGTCTTTAAAAACTTGTAAACCTCAACTGCTGTCAAAATACCTTGTGCAGACTGCCCATTGAGTAGCTCGCGCTCTAGATCTTGCAGTGTTTTTGTAATTGTTGGATCTTCCTTGGTAAGTTTGCCATATGCGCGGCCCACACGGTGGTTACGGCCACCGGCACACGAAGTGATGAGATCAGCAACACCTGCAGACTCCTCAGTATATGTGCGTGGATCGCCGCCTTTGAAAAAAGTCTGGCCAAATTGGACCATTTCCAGTAGGCCGCGGCGCATAATGGCAGCTTTGGCGTTTTCTCCCCATCCACGACCATCAACAAAGCCAGCTGCAATTGCAACCACGTTCTTGAGTGCACCAGCAAGACAAACGCCAGTTATATCGTCTATAACATTCACGTGAAAGTAGGGTCTGTGGAACAATTTGCGCAAGTCATCTTTGGTAACGTCTTGTGACTCGTCCTCAGGCTTCCACTCTTGCGTGCTAGGGTACCGGTATGCCACGGTAGTTTCTGAAAACTTTTCCTGGGCAATTTCAGGAGCCAGGTTAGCGCCAGAAAGTGCTCCGCAATGGATCCCCAGATGCTCAGAAATGTATGCTGGAAGCGTCGTGATTTTGTTGGCAGACACATCAAGGCCCTTAAGACATGAAATGGCTCGAGTATGGGGGTGCACATAGCCCTTGAGCTGTGCACAAACTGACCGCAGAAACTGGTGTGGAATGTTAAAGACAATGATGTTGGAGTCCCGCACAGCATCCAAAAGATTTGGCACCGCATGCAGGTTCCCAGGGAGCCGGATCCCGGGAAGATACTTGACATTTTCGTGTTCAGTGTTGATAATCTCCGTCAGCTTACGCCCATCAATTTCCTCCTCATGAACCCACATGTTGACTTTAGGCTCAAACAGGTCGGTGTAGATCTGAGTGTTTTCGCAAACAATCTTTGCCACTGTTGTTCCCCAGTTGCCAGACCCGACAACGCATACCCGGAAAGGGCGACTTGCAGCTTTTGTGATGAATGTAGACATGATATATATATATATATTTATAAATGTTTTTAATTGGAAACTTTTAAAGGGAAATAGTAATATATATATATATTTTTAAAAAAAAAAATAAAAATAAAAAAAAATAAGTAAGAAGAAGAAATTGGGAATGTCGAAAAGATTGAGTGGTTAGTTTTGTAGGTTTTTTTTTTTTTTTTTTTTTTAAAAGTAAACTTTTTTTTATATAGAAAAATGCGGCGCGGGCGCCAACAACTTTTTGTTGGGCAGCCAGCCAAAACTGAAAATACCTAATAACCTCCCCGCACGGATCCTAGTGTTCCGTAGTCACACGTGAGTTCTCTGTCATCCCCCTAATAATAACCCTCCAAATACATATAGTACCCGAGACCCGGGAGCAAGCAAGCAAGTAAGCAACAAGAAAAAAGGGGTCCCGGTTTTTTTTTTTGTCTTCTCATTGTCCCTCTTCTAAGCTCTCAACTCAACGAGTGTTTCAAAGCCAAAGCAAACGTCTCCCGTAACTTAGGCGTTTCTGTAATGAGTGGTCGCTTAGGCATCTCGCGCTGAAGTTGTAACCGCTTCAGCAACCGTTCGCGGCGCGCCCGTTCTGCTTCAACTCCAACGCTAGTGTCTACAACAACTCCATCTGTAGATCCAGATCCATGGCTCGATACTGATATTTGACTCATATCCGATCCAGTCTTGCGGTGGACCTTCCAGCTTGGCGCCCGTCTGGCTTTGGGCGACTTGCTGCGAGCTGCTGCAATAGCAGACACTTGTGCGTTGGTATCACGCAACTCAGCTGTGGCCTCCTCCTGATCAGCATTGAGAGTGTCTTCTTCGTTCAGGTCATCAAAAGCATCAAACTCATCCTGTGCAATGCCAAATGTCGAGCTGTCAAAGTCGCCTGAAGTTGGAAGAGCCTCGTTCCAGTTCAAGCCCTTACTCTCAATTGACCCAACAACGCCAGCCTGCTTAGCTAACTGTTGTGCCTGTTGGGATTGTTCTGCAATCCATGCTCGTCTAGCCTCGAGCCACTCGACAAGCGAATCCATCTCAGCTCGTACCTTTAATGGGTCCACGCCGTGCTGTGCGGCTGCCAACTCCAAAATGGCATTTAAGTCAATTCTGCTAGGCTCCTGGCCCTCAACGGTAGTACCGTAGCGCAAAAACTGCACAATGTCAGTCAGCCATTTCAAAAGACCATCGAAAAAGAGGCCCTTGTCATTGATATACATGTCATGAACAAAACGGAAAAGAGACGGCAGATGGCGGTTGCACAAAGCAATAAACTCATCCACCATCTCATTAGGACCACGTGTAAGCACAGAAGCCTCTGCTCGCTGAACAACCTTAATCAAGTCATTCATAAAGTTCTCCAAATCTGCGACAGCTTCGTACACCTTGGCGGACTTGAATACATCGATAAGAGGACTGTAAAAGATTGTAAAAAGATCACGGAGCAAACTCATGGTGGTCGTCTCATTCCATAAGTCCTGTAGCTTGTTTTTATCGCTGCGGCGCATCATGTGCTTGAGCAGTTCGCGCGTCGTAGTGTAAGAAGCAACATATTCGTCTGGGTATTTGGCCGCAGATCCAAATACACCAGGGGCATCGCTATTGTTGCGCTCAACCGCTGAATTCCAGGCCTCATACCAAGCCTCTACCAATAATGACACTTCGTCTTGAATGACGCCGCCATCGGGGTTAAGCATACGACTATGTTTGAAAATAGCCAGAATTAACTCCGAGTGGTCTTCATTGTGCGTGCTTGCACGAATCTCCCGACGCACTGAAGGCGAAGCACTCAAGTAGGCACTCAAAATGTTTTCCACTACCTCAGCATGGCGAGGATCGGCACACAAGCCCTTTCTCAAAATAGAAATTTGCTTGTCTTGAGCCTTGATATCGTCAGCCAGCACAAGGTAGAAGATGTTTTGCAGGAGTGAGCGCTTGCCAAACGGCTGAGCCAAAAACAAATCGATGACACCCTTCATGATGGCCACAGGATTGCTATAGCGCAAAATACCGCGCAAAACAGAGTATGGCATCAAGCGGTGGATCCGGGAAACTTGGGAAAAAAGTGAAGCGGAGTGATCCCCTGAAACAAACATGGAATACAAACTTGCAGAAAACTCAACGGCGGCCCATTGCAAAAATGTCTGGAAACGCGGCGAAAGCTGCTCAATATGGTCCTTTTCGCGTAACTCGGCAAAAATCCGTTGAAGACCATCCGGCTGCATCATATCATGCTTAAAGTCGGCCATGTGTGTCTCAAGCTCTCTTGCACGGGCCGTTGCCAGACGTAAGAATTCCAACTGGTCCTCTACACGCTTGGTGTCCATGGCCCGACGACGGTCAATGTCATCTTGTTCTTCTGAAGAGAGACCTCGGAGTTGGTCTCTAAATAAAAACTCCATAAAAGTCTGTGATTTTGACACGGCTGGGACAGTCAGCAAATCCCGCAAATAAGCCCGCACAGACAACCGCTGGCGCTCGCGAGGTAGCTTAATTTTGGGAGGAGCATGGGGAGTGTTATTGTTGTTAATAGAAGAAGCAATGCCAGGAACAATATTGGTTATATTGCTAAATTGAAGCTTTTTAAACTGTAAGTTTAAGTTTCCCAGCCCCTTTGAGAGGTTGTGTTGGGGTTGCTGCTGCTGCTGCTGCTGTTGAGATTCCTGCACATGATCCTGAGAATGGTCGTCGTACTCGTCCTCGTCTTCGTCCTCGTCCTCAAAATGGTTTTCCTGAGATGGAGATTTCGGTATGTTATCCTTTTCATCTGCAGCTTTTTCCTCGCCATCCAAATTCAGCGAGCTCTTATTTTTGCTTGGCAGGTTGGGTAGTTCAATTCCAACAAGCTCCTTTGCCAACCGATTTCCCAGTGAAACAAAATCACTGAAGCGGCGTGACACGTAAATCACAGGCGTGTTTTTCAGCAAGTCGGCATTGTACTTGCTGTCATCAGCCTCAGAGTGGTCGTGGTCCGGATGGGCCATACGTGCACGAATAATGAATTCAGCGTGGTCGTCCGGAACCTGAAACAGGTTGCCCAAAGCGCCGCCAAAGTTACCAAGAGGAGACTTTTTCTTATTCTTGACTATGCGTACGCCTACAACATTGACGTCAAACCCATTGATAAAGTTTGGCGCGTCCAAGAGTTCACGCGCAAGCGCAGCAGCATCAATGTTTTGGATACCAGATTTTGCCACTGCTGCGCCATTATGATGGGCATGTTTGCCTGATCCTGGAGCCATCGCAGAACGCGTTGCCGACCCGGAAATCTTAGATGTTTTTTCGTCTGGGTTAGTAGTTTGTAACCCGGATGCCATGTAGATAGAAACCAAGGTCGTCAGCTTGTTGCTAATTTTGCGACGCTTGGTAGCCTCCTCACGATCTTCTGACGATGAAAGATCTTCGGCTCCCAAAATTTCAAAAAACTTTTGCACCGTGTCACGCCAAAATTCAATCGTGGTGGGCATGCCCTTATGATCCAGGCCAGCACTAATAAATGGGAAAGTCAAAATATGATGCTGGAAAACGTGCTGCATGATAGGTACAGATGGGTCCTCAGGAAGATCAAGGGATGGGTCTGGGGGATCTAGTGGAGGACCTAATAGACCGAAAAGCCGCAAATCTGCGAGTGTGCGGAGCTCATGAGCAAGCTGGATTCGAATGAGCTCACGTTTAAGGTAATGCTCATGAATGGCTTTAAGCGGAGGCAAAGGAGGAGGTCCCGACGGCTGTTGCAGCGACGAAGGGTAGTTAGAGGTCATAATTAGGTCTGTTGTATGATATTCAAGATAGTTAGTTGTGAATGGTATGTAAGGAGGTTGGGGGATTTTTTACGGTGGGTTTGGCATTTTATTTTTTTATTTTTTTTTTTTTTTTTAAGCATGGACATCTATTATATATACAGGCAATTGTTAAAAGGAAAAAAAAAAAAAAAAAGCACTCATTCATTCCGGAACGTCCATTATAGGCAACTCGGCAAGCGTGCCGTCTGGTCGCCGCTCTACAACCCGGTCAAAGAGCGACACCGGGATCCGCCCGTTCTCATCACCTTCACTCAGCAGCACACCGTTCGCAGACTCCCAAAACTGCAGCCCCGCAGTAAGTGCAGCCGCAATGTTCACATAGATGTACACCGTTGCTGACGCGCGCATCCCACTCGTGACATGCGCGTCGCCAGCCAGTCCCGGAGCGAGGTGTATGTGCGTGCGCGCCATCCGCGACAACCCACCAGACTCCTTAATCTTCTTCCATGCTGTAGCATTGGTCCCGTGAACCGCACAGGGCGCTGAAGCCCCATGAGCCACAGGGAAATCCTCAACACGTAGCAATGGCCGCATCTCGACCTCAACACCAGTCAGTGAATGTCCTTGGTTCGCACGAATGAACCACTCGCCACGCGTCGCGTCCGTTAATCTCTCCGTGGCTTCAAGTGCAACAGGCTCTGGATCTGCATCGCTCCCGCTGGCAGAGCTACGCGCAAGCGCAAACCGTTGTTTAGAATTTTCACGCGCTACTCGTGCTATATCTGCGGCAGTAAACGCGTGAAACCGCGAGCTTTTAAACAAATCCGAAACCCGCACATACCCGTCAGGCCGCATAGGAATCCGCTCCTTTGCTGCGCCATGGCGCAGCACATACGAGAGCGCTTTAGACAGCTTTACATCTGGGGTGTCAGCGGGTCTTCGAGGTCGTTTTTGCCGGGTGTCCTTATCTCCAGTAGCAGACATTTGGATAGTTTTGTCAATGTCAATATAGAAGGCGCTTATTGCATTAAATTAGAGATGGGACCCCTAAACAGATAATTAAAAATTGGTGGTAAAGTCAAACGGCACCAAAAAATAAAAAATAAAAAAAATAAAAAATAAAAATAAAAATCCTCCTAGCGCCACTTATCACCATTTTTCTCATCCTTACAAGATCTTTCTTTCCCTCTCCAAAATATAACAACAAAAACACCTTTCAATCATGTCCAAATATCCTGCTAAAACTCACGCCCGTAATACACTCTCCTACTATCGTTCTTTGGCTGCCGCTGCCGCTGCTGCAGCTAATGCTACCGGTACTTCTTCTTCATCCGAAAAGCCTCTGTTTGCGCTGACAGCTCCCTCGCTCACGTTGTACCCCCACTGCGACCAGTCTCAACCCTTTCGCCAGGACCGCTACTTTAACTATCTCACCGGTGCTCATGATCTTCCAGCCGCCGCTGTACTTTATAACTCAGCTGCAGACAGGCTCACGTTGTATCTCCCACCCATTGATGCCGACGACGTCATGTGGAGTGGTCTGCCGTTATCTCCAACCCAGGCCCAAGAAAAGTACGATATGGATGTCGTCAAGTATCACGCAGACCTAGCTGCAGATGTGGCTTCTACCAATGTGCTCACAATTGACGACCGTAATAAGTCTGTTCTTGAGAGTCTCTTGTCATCCTCTAACGTCACTATCTCACCAACCTTTAAGGAAGCTCTCGAGGAAGCCCGTCTGCGTAAAGATGAGTTTGAACTTGCACTCATGCGCAAGGCCTCTGCCATTTCTGATGTGTCGCACCGTGCAGTAATGTCTGCTCTACCCATTGAAACAAACGAAGGCCATATCCACGCTGAATTTGTGTATCACTCGATGCGCCAGGGATCCAAGTTTCAGTCCTACGACCCCATCTGCTGCTCGGGTACTGACTGCGGTACGCTCCACTACGTACGCAACGACCAGGAAATGGCCGATAAACAGCTTGTACTAATTGACGCCGGTGCTGAGTGGCAATGCTACGCTTCGGACGTTACCAGAGTCTTCCCCATCACTGGTGAGTGGACTCCAGAGGCCCTTGCTATCTACAAGGCTGTCCTTGATATGCAGACCCAGAGCATGGAGGGTGTCAAGCCTGGTGTCAAATGGGACGACCTCCATCTACTTTCTCATCGCATTCTCATCAAGCACTTTCTTGAGCTTGGAATCTTTAAAAACACCAAGTCTCCTGAAGAAATCCTCGAGGCTCGCACCTCAGTCGGCTTTTTGCCTCATGGCCTTGGCCATTTGCTTGGAATGGATACTCACGATGTGGCCGGCCACCCCAACTATGAAGACCCAGACCCCATGTTCCGATACTTGCGTCTGCGCCGACCCCTCGAACCTGGGTTCGTTGTTACTGTGGAGCCTGGCATCTACTTTAACAAGTTTCTGCTCGAGCCATACCTTAAGGATCCCAAGCATCTCGAAATTATTAACACAGAGGTCCTGGAAAAATACTGGGCTGTTGGTGGTGTGCGTCTTGAGGATGACGTTCTCGTCACTGAAACCGGCTTTGAAAATTTTACCAAAGTCACCACCGATCCTGAAGAAGTCGCTCGTATTGTCAAAGAAGGCATTGCCAAGGGCCGCTCCCATTTCCATGTTCTTGCTTAAATTTTGTACACTCTAAATTTTTTTTTTAATTATAACATATATGCAGAATTTTTCTTCAAAGCTGGCACCTGCCTTGGTGACACTTGTAGTCAATAAACCGCAGCGCTTCTTCAATGCTTTCAAAATATTCATCGCGCGACGGTTTTGTCACCAAATCGTCAATCCCAGACAATTCAAACATGCGTCGCGTGCTCTTTTTGTTAGGCACACGAACAAAAAGCACTGGGATGTCCCGATCTACTACATAACTCGACACAATTTCCAGCAAAATTTGCATGGCCGAGGCATCACACTCAGTCATACCGTGCAGATCAAAAATCACATACCGAGTCATTTCCTCTTGTCTAATGCGCGGGAAGGACGGGTGAACACGCATCGACCCATATACTTCAAGTCGACGCAGTCTGTTACGCAAATCACCCGTATTAGCAAAAGTTAAAGGTTCAGGAATTTTGACAATAAAGCAGCCTTCAATTTCTTCCATGCGTTCTGGTGGTAAGGAATCAGCATTCTCAAACTGGTTGGTTCCAGGAATACGGCCTAGAATCTGGATGCGTGAACGTGTGGCATTGCGAATAACACGGACTAGTGAGAAGCCCACGCCAAGGGCAATACCCGTTTCAACAGACCAAAAAATGGTGCAAATCAGTGTCAAGTACATGGTAAACAAATCCTCATAACCACCAATACGCCAGTAAAACAAAATGTCATTTGGTGCCTCTTCAACAAGCGACAGGCCAATAACCGAAATAACAGCTGATAAGATGCACTTGGGCAGGTAGTAAAAATATGGCATGGCAAACATTATCGATAAAAAGGTGACAAATGCAAGAACAAAACTGGCAAGATTGGTGCGTGCGCCGGAAAGCATATTGATTTTTGACCGCCCATAACCGCCAAACGATGGCAGTGCGTTAAACACAGAACCTACTAAGTTTGTGACACCTAAAGCCACGAGCTCGCGGTTGGTGGAAACGGTACGGTTAGTAGCGGCGCCAAGGGATTTTGCCGCAATGGTTGATTCAAAAAAGCCTAGCACGGCGCAAACAAAAGACGCAGAAAAAGTATCTTTAAAAACAGGCCAAGTTGATGGGGTAATGGGGAAATGAATGTGTACGGCGCCAGGCTGTATGTCGCCCACAACGTCAAGGCCTTGCTTATCCCAGTCAAAAATGTTTGTAAGAATAATTGAGACAATGACGACAATTAAAATTTCTGGGACAAAAATAATTTTTTTAAACACGTGAGAGACTTTTGCCTTGAAAAGGCGGAATGAAATGATAATAAACATGGCCGAAAAGGCGACAAGCGTTGTAAGGGCATGTGCCTTGTGGAGGTGGGTTGCCAGGAAGACAAGTTTTTCCCATGTGGTTGAGTGGCTACCAATCTCAGACTCTAAAAGAGAACCTATTCCAAGCTCGGATGGCAGTTGGTCAATGACCATAACAAAACCCACAGCAGAGATGAAGCCGCGGAGAAGTGCACGTGAAAGAACCGATTCCAAAAAGCCAAAGCGAAGAAGACCCGCACATAGTAAAACGGCACCTGCGGAACCAGAAATGATTCCCGACACGGTGGCTGCGGTAACATTTGGAGAGGTACCGGCAGCTAAAAATGGTGAAACAGCTTGACCAACCACCAGTGATAAGGCTGCTTCCGGGCCCACCACCATGTGGGGAGTAGAACCCATGAGACCATACACCAAAGGGGGGATCACCAAGCCGTAGAGACCACATACAATAGGGACGTGTGCAAGTGATGTGGCATACGACATGGACACAGGGATTTGGAATGAGGCAATTGTAAGGCCGGCGGAAATATCGCCAATAAGATATTTTTTCTTGTACCGGGGGATCCATTCGAGAGCTGGAATATAGTATGCCCAATATGATTGCATTTTGGGTTTCAGCTTGCCACGCTTTGGGAGTAAAGGCTGGGTGTTTAGATTGTTCACCGAGACTTGGTCATCAAGAGATGAAAAAGATGGAGTGTTAGGACCCAAAACTGGAGAGGAGGGGAAGAATGCAGGCGAGTTGAAGGTGTCGCTAAAGCCAGAGATCTGGCGAATGTAAGGTGGTCGCTTAGGGGCAGTATGAGTGACAGCATTAGAATAATTATTTAGTCGTGGAGTCAAAGGAGCAACTGGGATCGATGATCCAACACCATCGTAGCCGGTATATGAATTTCCTCGTGCAGCATGTGATTGTGCCAAAACTGGGAGAGCAGATGGTCCCAGAGAAAAGTTATTGTAGCTTGTAGAAGACGGGATATCGCTATTAAGTGCATTAAGGGTTCCTGAAGCTCCACCTTGAACATGGGTGTTTACATTGGTATCCGCTGAAGAAGCAGCAGCTGTGGTATTATTATTATTATTATTGTTGTTGTTGTTGTTGTTATTGTTGTTGTTATGACTGAAGATGCCCGTAGATGCAAGAGCACCTCCAGTTCCGGTTCCAGTTCCAGAAACCATGAATAAACTTTCAACGTCTGAATCGTCGTAATGGCTATAAGAGTGCCCAAGAATATGGCTAGCAGCAGAAGGTCCTTGTGGGGTACTATTAGGATTGTTATTATTGTTATTGGACATGCTAGAGTTGCTTGCAGAATAACGGAGTCGTGTAGGTCTATGGTAGCTTGAGTTTGATGTTCTTCGAGACTTGGGCACAGGATAAGAAAGGGGATTCGGTGGTGGAAGAGACGGGCTATTAGCACGCGGGCTATCTGTCTGCCTGCGAGAAGAAGCCATTGTTAGTTGACTATCTTGAAAGAATGAAAAAAAAAAAAAAAAAAAAAAGAAGAAGAAGAAGAAGAAAAAGCGACGTGGAGATGGCTGGAAAGAAATGGTGTGAAGGGAGGCGGTAAAATATTTATGACAGTAACAGTATAATAATTATTATTAATTAACAGCACACAAAAAGAACGCTTACTTACTTTTAGGGCCACTGATAAGATGGAGATAAAAATTTATCTAATACTTTGTTACTCTAAGTAATCCAGTGGTAAGTAAATATGTTACTCAGGGTATCTTAGATAATGTATTATTTATTTATTTTTATTTTCTTCTTTTCTTTTGGTCCACATCAAGAAAAAAAAAAAAAAATGGGGATCTCCCTGTTTTTATATAAATTTTTATTTTTTTTTCTTTCTAAAAAAAAACAAAAAAAAACTTCAAGCAATCTTTTTAAGTAATTCTTTTTTTTTTTTAATCTTCAAGGCAGAATTCAAAGCCAAGACTCTTTCTAAAGGGCATAACAGTAGCAGAATCCCCACACAATCCATTGGAAAGCTTCCAGTTTCAATCTCAAAGCAAGACTCGCACGTGATGGTGAAAAAGCTGAGGTTTTTAAAGATTCGTCTTCTTTTTCTTCTTCTTTTTCTTCTTCTTCTTCTTCTTCTTCTTCTAATTTATATATTTTTTTTTGTTTCAAAGAACCCTGAAATGGAAATAATATTAAGCATAATAATAACACTCCTAAATTATCAAATCAGATAGCAAAAAAAAAAAAAAAAAAAAATACATCTATATATATATATCTCTCCACAGTTAAATTTCTTAAACCATTGCAAAATCAAGCCCAAAGTTCACGTCTTTCCAACCTTTGCTCTTGAACTTGCTACACCGGAAAAACTACCATGCGGCTCACAAATCTATTTAATCCAACAATGCCCCTCCCAATTAACAAACGTACCCAATACAATTACTTGCTCCCAATCACCTGGCGACCGTCAACCCAGACGCGAGACACATTACGATCATCACCACCAAAAAGCCATTTGGCAACTAGGTTTTCCAATCTGTTCAAATCCTCACCTCCCTCTCCAATCCGAGGCTCTTGCCATTCAAAAACATCCACAGGAGAGTTCTCAACCTCAAGATCAATCAGCTGTGCATCCCACTTCTTGCCTACCTCAAAGCTACCCAACTGATCAGCCATCTCGCACACTTGTGCTCCACCAATAGTACCCAAACATAATACCTCGGCCACGCTCAGCTTATCTGCATCACCTCTGGAGCTTTTCATGGCAACGTGGCGAGACACAAGCAATGCTTGTCGCGCAACCTCCAGCACACTGGGCGCATAACCACCGCTTAAATCAGTCCCCAGACTACACTTGACCCCAGCATCAAGGTAGCGGCGCATCGGTGCCTCACCACTAGTGATGCTCGAGTTGGAAGTCGGGCAGTGTGAAATTCCACTTCCACGCGCCTTAATGGTTGCCACTTCAGTATCACTCAGATGTACACAGTGCGCCAAAATTGTGCGTTTCCCAAGAATTCCAGCCTTGTCGTAAACATCTGTGTAGCTATCATTCTCCGGAAACAATTCTTTGACCCATGCAATCTCCTTGACATTTTCTGAGAGATGGGTCTGGCACGCCAAGTCCCGCTCATGCATCACCTGGCCCATCCACTTCATGGTTGCTGGAGTGCATGATGGAGCAAACCGAGGTGTCAAGATTGGTGCAACCCGCTCGCGCGTCGGGTCCAGCCCAGTCACGTAGTCAATAACTTCGAGATCGGCCGCCTGGGCCGCTTCCTCACTAGCGTCGCAGTAATAATCCGGAGAGTTTTGTGTCATGCACACGCGGCCTACAAAAGCGCGCTGTCCGCGCTCAAGCGCAACATCAGCTAGTGCCTTGGTTGCACCGACATGAACAGTTGCATAGTACGATGCCGTCGTTGTACCACTGCGCAAAGTTCGGTCAATCACCTTGTTGTAAACAAATTTGGCCTTATCAATGTTTGATAAAGATGACTCCAAGGGAAATGTATAAGTTTCGAGCCAGTCGAGAAGAGTTGACTTGCCAAAGATACCGCAGTTGGGGTATTGCGGTGCGTGCTAAAGAAAAAAAAAAAAGTTAGTTAGTTTACGATCCTCTTTGATCTTTTTTTTTTTCATTTCTTTCTGTAACTTACTATATGAGTGTCAAAAAATCCAGGAAAGAAAAAGGATGCTTGCTTATCAGTGTTTGAAATCACATTGACTGTATATTGGACAAGAAGAGATGCCTTATCGGCCAGAACCTGGTCTACGCTGGAAACATTGCGTTCTACGAACTCAATCGTGCCGGATTTGTCATTCACGCCAATGGCGCCTGTTACAACGTACTCGAGGTCGCTGATAGAAACCGGGTTTACAAAGGTCCCGTAGTAGATAGTGAAGGTAGGCTTAGTGTCCACCGTCATTGTGTGCTGATTGTTTGTAATGATGATTACTTTATTTCGGGTTGGCAATTAAACAAGAAATGAGAATTTAGAAATGATTAATTAAAAATGTAAAATTTAAAATCTTCCTGTAGAAAACACAAAGGCGAAAAAGAACAAAAATAAGAAAAAAGAAGAAAAAGAAGAAGAAGAAGAAGAAGAGTAGAAGAAGGAGGGCGGCAGTATCAGAGTATTTATATGATTACTAACTTATCTTCTATTCGGCGCTATGTTGCACTTTTTGAGATAAGCCTAAAAGAAAAAAAAAAAAAAGCCTTTGGACCAAAAGGCACACCAGCAGCACCACCAGCAGCACCACTAACAGCAGAATCCTCGTAGAGCTTCCTCGAAAACGGCTTTGTGCGGACTTGACGGAACATCCCGCGGCTTAACACACCTATTTTGCACGCTTCTCCGACGGCTTTGCCGGCTTGATTTGTATGTGCTCAAACCCTAATGGCTAAATTATTTTTTCTCTCTATTTGTTTAAATTTCAAAGGTTTTTTTTTTTTTTTTTTTTTTTTTTGACATTTCCCTTTGGATCTAATTTTTCCAAACAGATTTAGTCTTTAATATACAAAACACTCGGAAGTCCAGATTCAATCATCAAGTCCAAGTATTGGCTGCATTGTGATTTGTCAACAGTATATATTATTTATATCTAGAATTCAAGTTGCTTCCTTTTAGTGGCTAATGCAGCAATTTAGAAACAAAAGATACAAAAAAAAAAATTCTTATCTGTAGTACTCTTTAATTATTTAAGAAAAACCGTGGCCAAGGCTTTCAATATGACTGCATAAACAAGAATCAAACTGGGTGCATTTCTAAGGCTCACATGTAGCTCTTTTCTAAAGGCTGCTGATTAGGGCAATTTAATTAACAAGACATATTAATAAATTATGATGTAAAACATTCTAATGTTAAAGGTTTAATGGGGATTTTCTTTTTTTTTTTTTTTTTTGCTTTTTTTTAAAAAAGATAGATCAGTCTAATCGTGAACATGATTTAGAGCTGGGGAAAAAAGTATAATAAGCGAAATCGTACCAAAAGCATTTATCATTTAAAAGAGTGGCCTATGATTCATTATATGATAAGAAATAGATACACAATAACCATTTATTTTAATAATAATTTCTGTTCTACATAAGTTTAAACATTTCAAAAAATAAAAGACAAACACTTTTTTGATTTGAAGAAATAGTTGAACTGTTTAATTTAAAAAAATAAATAAAATAGTAAAGTAAAAGCAGGGTAATTAGCTTAAATCATGATCTCATTATCAATCTAGTTCATTAATAGCATATGATATATAAATAGCATGCCTATAATAATTTTGATAGTTTTGAGATTGTAAAAAGAGTTCCTAAAAATTACTTTTTTCTACTTTAATCTTCTTTAAACTTTCAAAATCATAAATATTACTTGAACTTGCATCCCATCAATAAAATACGGAACAGATTTTGTCTAAACGTACTAACAAATCATCATTCATTTTTTTCTGGTCGGTTCACCTCACCTTAACGTCACCGTTCTCTAAATCTTTAACAGAAACTGCTGTAGCTAACTGTTTCGTACGTTTTCTAAAAAAAAAACAAACAAAAATGTGGCTGTTATTCCGATGCGGTTTCTTCTCCCCCTTCCCCTTCCCCCTTTTTTTTTTTATCCTATATATGTTTGTGGGATTCTCCGCAAGTAACGAAAATGTCTGCCATACAAGACTTTTGGTCAAAATCTCCGACGGCTTTTCCATGGAAATTTTGCTGGCGAAAAGTTGCCTTGTAGGTATCTTTTTTCAAAAAACAATATACATAAAAAAGCCAATATTTCCTACATTAAAATAATTTAATAAAGCCATGATTGCTAAAATTAAAATATTTTTGATTGTTCATATAATCTAATAATTAAAAGCTTGACAGTTATTTAAAAAAAATCCTTTGGGCACAGACTTTACAAACACCACCAAGCACTGCCTTTACTTATCTTAACCCCTACCCTTGTGGAATATAGACATTTACTGAAAATAGGTTACATTTTGGCTTGTGACTTGGCCTCTAGGTTAAATAATTCTATTTCTGTGTGATAAAAATAGCTTATACCCTTACCCTAAAATAATAAATCAAATCATTCATTCATTCATTCATTCATTCATTCATTCATTCATTCATTCATTCATTCGTAAGGAAAGCTTGAACTTTTAAAGACTTTATTGCGGAACTACAAAGCCTAACAAAAAAATAGCTACTTTATTTTTAAAATAAATGAATTCTAATAAAAAAAAGAATATATTTACTCCAATTGCTAGCAAACAGGTCATTATAAGCATAAGTGTACCCCGATAAGATATGGAATCCCATGAAAATTTATACCCGTATCTAATAATCAACTTAGTCAAGCTATAAATATTTGTCTATTTTTTGCTATAAAACACAGATATGTACTTATATTATATATAATTCAATCATATATAGGTTTTAAGATATACGTTCTTATAAAATGTGGTTTGACATTTAGATATAACAATTATAGATAAGCTTAACGAAACTAATAATTAAAAACAAAATTGAAATCTTTAAGAGAGCAAAGTTTATATACAGAAAGAAATACAAGACTGATAACTAGGATTTTTTTCTTTATAATTTGCTTCGAAATTTAGCAACATGTGGATTTCAATCTATACTAGTAAAAAGTGTAACCTTATTTTTCACCTTAATTTATTTTGTGGTAGTTAAACAAAAGATTTTTTTAACCTAGAAGCCAAGTCATAAGTCAAAATGTAACTTACTTTAACAAAACCCTCAAATTCCACAAGGGTTGGGGTTAAATATAATTTTAAAATACTACTCTACTTTTCTATCAAGAAGTTTGCCAACCTTTTTAAAAAGATAATATTGGCATATCTACACTTTGATTAGACTTTTTTTTTTTAAAAAAAATGGTTAAGATGATATCCTTATTTGCTTCAGCTCCTCCAACTTTTAAAATTTGAGAAAACTAAAAGCCTACATTCCTGTTGGTTGAAGTAATTCTAATTTGATGACAAAAAAAAAAAAATTATTAGAGGGCGCTCAAATAAAAGTAAAAAAAAAGCTCAAGACCCAGCCATCTTTTACTCCAAAACAGTTGAAAACTGGAATTACTGAACTATTAAGACATTCTAAACTGGTCAATGTTTTTTTTTTTTTTTTTTTTGGTTTATATAACAATTCTTTTCGAAATATATTTCTAAGATGCATAACTCTAACAAGAAAGACCATGTATGATCAATTATGATCAATATTCAGGAAGAACTTTTAACAACTTTGCCTAAGGTTGGTATTTTTTTTTTAATATTTTTCAAATATTTCAACTTTCGAAAGATAGAAATAACCCAAAAAATAGATTCCTTTTTTTTTTTTTTTTTTTTATTAACCACTAGTCGATTAATATAATTTCAGAAATGTAGTTGTTTTAAACTTCAATTACAACGACTTCAATAGGTCAAAACTTAGCAAAAATTCCAAAAGATATAGATTATTGTTTGTACAAAATTTTTGATCACCTGTGTTGTTTTTAAGTAGTGTTACTAGGAAAGCTGAAATCATGGAATGACTTGAAAAAAATAATACAGAATTCTGTTTGAACCTCCTTTCAGTCACGCCGGTTTAGCACTTCTAGCAAACATCTGTCTTAAAATCACCACTTTTGCGACAGAGTCATGTTTTCTACTTTCAACGCAACAGCGACTTCATCTTGAATTCCTAGTTTCTCAACAACAATGGCTCCAGTGACTTCCAGGGTTGAATATAGTCCTGATAAGAGGACTAGAATTTATATGAAGTACAAAATGGGAATTTCTCAGCGGCGTATCGCATTTGAAGAAAGAGTGTCACCAGGGTCAGTGTCTGGCATCATTCGACGATATCCTATCCAAAATAATGCCTCTAGTTGTGGACGGTCAGGACGACCACCAAAGCTTTCCGATAGGAATAAAAGGGCTATTTTCCGAGTCATTAGGAAAGATCATTTTATTAAAATGCAAGATCTTATTGTTGCCGTTGATTTAAATGTCTCTAAACGTACTATTTTGAGATGGCTCAAACATGAAGGCATCCATCATCAACGCGCTCTCCGACGGCCATTACTAACTCCAACGATTGCGGAAAAACGCCTAAATTTTGCAAGAATGTATAAAGATGAACCAGAAAGCTTTTTGGAAGCATTGGATTTCAAGTGATGAGTCTACAATTGCTCGTGGTGATGGCGAAAAGCAGGAGTGGGTTTTATGCCCAAAAGTATGTTTTATTCACATTACAATTCCTTCATCTATTTACAAATAATAGGGACAACGATTAGATATTCAATATGTACAGCCAAAAGGTAAGCCCTCACGTCATTCTCAGATGTTCTGGGGTGCAATTTCCTTTTCCTCTCGATCGTCTTTATGGCCGCTTCATGGAGACCCTACATCTGCTCGCGGAGGTGTTACTAGCCACTGTATTCTCGAATGCCTTCAAGATCAACTTCAAAAATTGCACAGTCGGGTTCTATATTTGTTCAAGATAACGCACCTACACATAAAGCTCGAATTGTTCAGAATTGGCTGCGTGAATGGGCCGAACAGAATGGGGTTACTTTAGTGGATTTGCCTCCTTATTCACCTGATCTTAATCCAATTGAGAACATATGGAAACTGCTTAAGGAAGAAATCTGTAAAAGATTTCCGGAACTATCACTATTACCTCAGAATAATCAGTCATTAAATAAGTTATGCGAAGCAGCTGTGGAAGTCTGGGAGGATTTCCATCAGGACCTCATAAATAAGCTAGTCTTATCAATGCCCCGAAGACTTCAAGCTGTAGTAGATGCAAACGGCTGGTACACAAAATATTAAACAAGTATATATATCTCTATAATATAAGGAACCTATATCTCAAGTTATGTATGAATTGAATTAAATTTGGTAAAGAGATCCGTTTTGAAAGTGATGTGGTGAAGAAAAATAAAATTGGTGATGTGGGAGTGAATCGTCAATTTTGTCTCCCCACTGTATATTTTACAAATTTGATCATAGGCTTAAGTAGAGATTTAATTTTAATTTTTTAAAAAAAAAGAAAAAAAGACAAATTCTATGATCTTGAAAAAATCGATACAACTTAAATTGACATTTAAAACTACAAAATTTCAGCTATTTGAGAAGAACTCTAGTTAAGAAAGCTTTTTCATAAAAATTTAAGAGTTGATGTTGAAAACCGCATCCCTTTCTTCACAAGTTAAAAGATAGACTTAGAAGCGGGACAGCGAGTAAAAACTACTCAATTCACAACATGCAAGCTCGTTTCACTTATGTATAATTTATGTCAAGTTAGATTTACTGAATTGCAAGCAATTGAATTGAAAATGTTAAAAAGAAATTATCAACACGACAACGTCTTCCAAAAAAAAATCCAACAAAATTCCTCATACTATTGCTCCGATTATTAAAATCATAAGCAGAAATCAAAAATTAAAAAACCCGATCTACCCATACAGATAGTCGGCAGGAGACTGTAGTACGCGAAGTGCAATGCTTAAGAGTCATTCCCTAGCAAGACAAAAAGCCAATACTTAAGGTAAGCCATCTAAAAAGACACGAATGCCTTTTTAAACAACCAATGACTAAATACCAGTCTCCGAGGTCACACGAAATTTATGAGCTTCGGTAACGTTTCTAGGTAAGTATGGGGAAAAAAGAAGAAGAAAATCCCAAAAGAGGTGGGAACTTGCTGTTATTTATACTTTTTTTTTTCTAATAGACATTTTCTGCAAGGTGGCGTTAACAAGAGAGGGTAACAAAGGGTTTTTAGGGTATACTATGATATAAAAAATTGAAAATAATTAAACCTATTATTAATAAATATTACATAATAATTAATAACCATATGATTATCAAATAGGGTAGGTACACCAATTTACATCAAGATGACAAGAAAAAAAACAATCTATGTATTAACTAAAACAATACTCCAATGCATATAAATAAAATGTCCCAAAATAAATAAATAAATATCCCAAAATGTTTCTTGGTCAATGCTATAATATCCCATTTTAATTTTTTCCCCATTACCTTAGACAACTGTAGAGGAAGTTGACAGAAAATCATTTCGGTTTGTGCTCCGGTCATAAACCCGAGTGTAGGCTGACCGCGGCAACACTTTCCCGGCGCCCGCGCCTGTGTGCACGTGTACTTGCATGACTCCCTTTCCAGTCATTGGTACTGCTGGAGCTGTAGCAGGAATTGAAACGATTTCTGAAACTGTGGCCCTAATACGGTCCTTGCTGTTGTGACGCTTTGGTGCTGGCGCAGACGCAGTAGTAACAGTTGGTGTTGTTGTCGTTGTTGTCGTTGCTGTTGCAGGCGGTGTAGTGCCAAGTTCGCGAAGAGGAATCGAGGGTTGATGCGAAATAGTAAAAGAATAACGACGACGTTCGCGTGAATCGTCATCATCGTCGATGTCAGATTCAAGATCACTGGAGAGCGCGTTTTCTTCGTCACCTTGGTATTCCTGATCTCCAAGCAAGGGCGATCCTTCACCGCCGTGCTCATCATCGTCTTGGTCCTCGTCTTCATTATTTCTGTCGTGTGTGCTTATATGCGAAGTTCTGCGCGAATGTGGGAGATGGATCCGTGCCTCGCGAGCCTTTTTGTTCGACCACCATTTATATACAGCCACAAAAATACCTGATCCAAGAATGAGAACCATACCCAGTAAGGACCAAAGATCAGGAGTTTTATGCCAAATGACTTTTTCCCAAAGTAATGTCCAGAACATGAGCGTATATGTAGCCATAGCTGCGCGGCCAGCTGTTACGCGCTGAATACCAGCTGTAAGGCAAAACTGGAAGAGGAAGCCAAAAACACCAAGAAGCAGGAGGAGAAACCATTGAAGGGCTGTCTGAGGCATGACAAAATGAAGACCAGGAGTGACAGTAAGGCCAACAGTCGAGACGATAAAAGACCATAAAGCAAAGTAAGAAACCGAAATGAGAGGATGTGCACGGCGACCAATTTTACGAATGACTATATAAACACTGGAAGCACCGCAAACACCCAAAAGCGCGACGAGAACAGCGCGAACGCGCATTGCTTCTGGAATATCTGGTGTATCATTAGAGCTTTCTGAATGATGGCCAATTTTAAAAAGGAATGAGGGTTTAGAGATGATGACAACACCTATGAGGGCAAATAATCCACCCAGAATTTCAATGGGAAGCAGAGGCTCATTGAGGAAATGCCAAGCAAAAACGGCTGTAAATACAGGTGTGAGAAAGGTGATAACGGCAGCATCAGATATTTCGAGGTAGTTGACCGAGTAATAGAGTCCGAAGACCCCAAAAAACCCAAATACACCACGACAGACAAGCAGTAGACGAATACCTTTTTCACCAAGAAGAAAGTCTGGGACGTGCTTATACCACATGAATGCTACGCAACCAATGTAAGTGATGCCCATACGAGCAAAAAGAACTTGAAATGGGTGAAATGGTGGGTCGGACGCTGTTTCGAGCAGACGCGTACTTGCAATCATGGCCGAGTTGAAGACCTGAGCGAGAAGGAGCAGCTTGACGCCGGCATGGGAAAACAAAATATGGTTAATGATAATCATTGCGCGTTCACGGATGGACTCTTTACGCAAAGGTCCCAAAGGTCCGTCAGAGTCATCATCTAAGCCGTCATAAGAGTCATCATCAGAGTTTGCTGCTGTGGGGTGGTTAAGTCTAGAGGGGTCGGAGTCCGGGAAGCCTCCGACCCGCTGCTCTTCATCAAGCAAAACATTACCTTCATCTTCTTCGGGTTTGATTGTGAGGGGGACAGGCATAACGACGTCAGCGGTAGTATACTGTGCACCTGTGGTTGTACCGGTAAGCGTATTGTTATCAGCGGCCGGGCTGTAGCTCGAACCAGGCGACGAGGCCACGGTGTCGTCTGACAGGGTATGCACGAGCGAGACAGCCTTATGTTCAAGGAGTGATGTTATGGTATTGGTTGTAGAGCCTAGAAATGTGTTTTGAGATAGTGGAGAGGTTGCAAAAGTAAAATCTTGGGATTCGAAGTCTTGGTTTAAAGAAGTGAGCGGATCCATCTCTTCAGCATCGAGATTAGACTCTGCTGGTCGCCGTTTGGCTGCGGTTTCTTTTGGGTCTGGAAACGATTCTGTTGGCATTGGACCTAATGAGGGGGAATGTTATTTTATAAGAATATTATAGGACCAGAGATAGTGAATAATAATATAATAATAGTAATCCTTTGGTTTATATTAGGAAGAAAATGATGAATAAAGAAAATAACTTAAAGAAGGTTTATAAAGGAGAAGAAAAAAAAGTCTCAGATGTCTTTTATTAGTAAATAAGAATTGGAAAAAGAACAGAACCCAATAAAAAAATAAATAAATAAAAAAAAGGCTTTCCAAAGACTTTACAAATGGATTGGAAAAATATTTCGCCATTTAGAGGAGAATTTTTAAAAAAAAAGACGCTTAAAAGCAGCAAAAAATTATTTGAGCCGCACATGATTACATAAACCACGTGAACCAACAGCCATGCACAAGAGGGCATTGTCGTTGCCATGTAGAAAGTGGAATATAACCAATTCTGACGGCCTTGAAAAAGCCTTTTTCATTTGTTTGATTCTTATCTTCTTTTTCTTTCTTTACTTTCAGCTCAGTTGCTAGAGCTGTTCAAATTTTTTAACCAAGGTTCGTTGTAAATACCGTTGGTTAACTACTTTGTGGGTGGCATCGATAAGCCTTGCCAAGCACCCAATCGAATCTCCCACCATAATGTGCACGCGACCAAACATCACTTAAACTAATTCATTTGTGAAACACTAAATTTTAATGAAAACCTATAAACCTGCTAAAGACTGTTCATGAAACTTATAAGTATAATTTACTGTTTTATTTATTTGAAAACACGCTTAGCCACCTCTTCAGGGGTTTCAAAAGCATCAGCAATAACGGCCTCTGCATTGGCCTCGTAGTCTGCAAGACCCTGTGTGAACAAAGCCTGTAACACTGCGAAAAAGTCATCGCGACCCTTGACACCATTCTCAACCACCTGGGTTGCACGGTCAACAATCTCATTCTGGGGCTTTTCAGTCAGTGCAACTTCTTTTCCTGTTAGCTTGCTAATGATGTCAGCAACAGTCTTGCCACTCAGGGACCCGCCCTTGATGAATAGCTCGTCAGGAAGCTTGCCGGCTTCCTCAGGTGTGGCCGACTTGGTCACAAGTGCAGCAACACTGCGACCAATATCCACCAACGAAGTGGTTGCATACTCTTTGTCGGGAACATACGTTTGTGCTTCAGTTGTAGACTGAAGTCCACCTGCACCAGGCACGCGGAACGCAAACTCGGTAAAGAGACCATTGTACACGGCTACAGTCTTAAGACCCTTGTCACGGGCTTGTTGAGTAGCCTTAATCTTAAAGTCGAAGACTGGTGCATATTTTCCCAACGCCTTTTCAGTAGTGGGGACCCCAAACTCAGATGCAACATAGAGATTTGTTTTTGCCTTGGCAGCTGCATCGGAAATTTTGTCATGAGAGAACCCAGTGCCAGCAAGATTGACTATAGCAGTAGCTCCTTCAAATGCTTCTGCAAGGCCTTCACCAGTGGCTGCATCAGCCTTGTAGAACTTGAAAAGGTCAGGAGAGGCTTCAATGGCAGGAATAGCAGCTTTGGCTTTAGTCTCATCACGAGTAACGAGACGAATTGGAGTTGAGATTTGGGACTTGTAAGGTTCGGAAATGAGAGCGTTAATGACGTGCTTGGCAAGGAAGCCAGTCAAGCCAACAATAGCAACAGTGGGAGCAGCAGTCATTTTGAAGTAATTGTGATTGTTATTAGTTATATGAGAGTAATTGAAAAGTTATAAGCTTAGAAGTGATTGAAAAGTTCGAGTAAGATGGACAATGAGAAATGAATTGAAAAAAAGGTTGATCTTGGCCTCCTTTTATACATATTTTTTTTTTTGCTCAAGAGTGATATGAGAACCTTTGAGAAGGGTGGCACGCCAGAAGGTCATTAATTCTCGCAATTGCGCGCACATGTGTCAAAAAGAAAGACGAAGAAATTTTAATAATATCACCATTTTTAGTTTCTCCACATACACAAAGTCACAGACTATCTCGCCATTTTGCCAATCACTCTCGTGTACCCAAGGGGAAAAGCCAATTAAAAAACACGCAAGCAGGAATTAAATCTACATCATTGAAGAGTATTTTATACTATACCAATAGAAGAAACTAATAAATATTAAGAAAAGGTTTTTTTTAGTGATTTTTGGGCTTTGTTTAAACTATTAGTGTGAAAAGACTATTTGAACTGTTGCCCAGTAATTATTACCAATCGCAATTATTTCTAGAAAACTGCTTTTACAACTCATATTGTAAGCTATTGTACCATAATACCGAACTTGTTAACACATTAATTTTAAGGAAAATACGTGTATTAAGATGGCCTGTCCGTTAATTCAATAGTACCAAGTTTGGTAAGGCCACTCTCTAGTGCCAGAGCGATTATACACAAACAACCTAATAAAATGCCTTCACTTAATATTGTAAACTTAAAGTCCTTTGTTTAAGGAGCCAAACTTTCTCGAAGAAATCTCCAAAACTAGATTTTTTTCTTTCTTGTATTTTAATAGAGCAGACCTTTTCTTGATAGAAGGCTGTTTAAAAGTACCTCTTCAATGATTTTTGACTCTTCTTCTGGGACAGCAACAGGTTTCAAATCGGCTCACCAAGAAGCACGATTTCTGTCGTCAAAACCACGGAGAAACCGTTCATAGATCACAAAAAGTATAAGATAAATGGTGTTATAGTTACTCTATTAAACATCATTCCAAGCTGATATAGACCCCACATGAGAGAGAATCATCATGCTAATAGGGTTTGATGTCCAAATCGCCTTAACTAAATCAACCCAATAAACAGCCCAGGCCCATATTACGGGCATCCTCAACAAAGTCAACGAAAAAAACTCCTGAGAGCAGAGAAAACGAGCTCCAATTAGGTGGCAACTTGATCATGAATAAGCTCTTTATCTGAAGCCAAACTAGCATATGTTAAGAATTTCAAGGCCGGCAAGAATGTTATTGCTTCCAGACTGAGTATTGGTACAACCAAGAAAGGCGGAAGACAAAAGTCATCTTAGTTAGAGGGTTTAATTGATGTACAGGAAGACAAGCCAGTGCCATTAGGAGTACCAATGGCACTGAAGTGAAACCAAGCTTCAAAGACAGAGTTTATTACGTCAAGTACTGATAAAGTTGGAAATCGCGGAAAACTGGGCAAATACATTTTATAAGTCAAAGAAAGCCTCTAAATCTGCCTTGATTAGGGCAGGCAACTTTTCAGTACTCTCATTAGTATTAAAGGCGGATTCTGGAATCTTCATGATGCAAGTTATAAAAGCAAGGACTTCGGGGCTTGGTTCAACTTCAAAAATCGAGAAAACAACTAGTTCAAGTTAAGTTAATTTTTTAAAAACCGTAGTAAAACTAATTAAGAGAATAAGTAAAAAGTTTAGTTCACATTAAGAGAGGTTAGAGGGGATGAAAATCCCTATGAATCAATATAAAAGCGGTTACAATCAATATTCTTGATTCATGGTGGTGGAGATATATATATTAGACTACGAATTACCTAAGAGTATTGCAACAGGGCGTATATTGTAGACTAACACTAATTAGTAAAATACAGCCTTCGCATGCTGTATTCGAGAATGGTCTTAAGACTTTTTTCTTGAAGTTGATTCCTAAAGCAATAACTGAAATAGCAGTTAAATAATGGTATGTAATTGAGAGCCTATTATATGACTTGGTGTTAGCTTGAAAATCTATGAAATTTTGTTTGGATTGCGATGACGATCAGCGATAAATCTCAGTAGGGTTCTTATAACTCTGTATGGAATATCTTTATTGGCCTTAAAAAAGTCATGTAGTGTTTGATACAATCTTATTTAACCTAATAATGAAAAGTTCTTCTGCAAAGTCTAAGGTAAGTTTATTTTATATCCAAGTCTGATAAGAGTTCTATATCCAATTTCAAGAAAAGGTTTTGCTTCACTGATTGGAATTAACTTTTTCTCTTCATGATATTGTACCAAGCATAAAAATAATATCTCGTTGAAGCAATCATACCTGGGTATTCAGTAGGAAGCTAAAATCCAATTAATCGATTCACAACTCATTATATTTAATAAGTGTAACCTCACATTGTTTTTACAAAAAGAAAAAGTAACAAGGCATATTGAATTAGTAATAATCTGAATTGCGCTGTATTTTTCTTAATATTGTCTTATAAGACAATAAATTATTTCATGGATCAATAGATGAAAAAATTGCTATATGCTTATCTTATTTGCATACCTGACTTCAACTTTTTTTTTGCAAAGAACTAATAATCGGATTTTAAGCCAATAATATGCATTAAAATGTTGAACATCTTAAATATAAACCCATTCACAATAAACTTGACTAAAGTGTAATATTTGTTTAGTGGTTTATAATTGAGGTTAAAAAATTTCTTCGACTAAATTTTGGAGACCAGAATATTTCTTTCTGGCCATGCAATGAAAACTAATCAAGAAAAACACTTAAATACTTTTGTATTGCATAGACCTCAATGGAAGATATAATTTTTTGAGTGGAATTTTTGATAAAAATAACTTAAAGTTAGTTTGTTCTTTTTTTTTTTTTTTTTTTTTTTCAACTAGAGAGTGTTTTAAAAACTCATTTTTTTAAAGAAATTAAGCAAAACTGAAGGTAGATAAGTTATGAAGTTTAAAAATAAATTGGAATAAGCTTACATGTGGGTTTTTGATAATTATCTTCCATTTCTTTCAAAACTTGGAACTGAGTTTCGGTATTTAACTAGGAATTTTCATTTTTGAAAAAGAAACATATAGTTGATCTTGTATAGAATAAAAAAATAAAATAAAACAACATCTAAAAAATGATGCTTTTGATCTTTTCAATATTTGGTAACGACTTTTAAAAAATATTGTGAATCACATATTCGAAATCTCAATAAACAGTTATAATTTTTATATCTGATACAAAGGAATAATCGGTGCTCATTATTTCATTACACCATTGCACTATAATTGTTTTTCTAAATTGTAAAAATTTTGATTGTCTATTGCTATTAAAGTCAATTTCAGTGATAAAGACGAAACAAATAGCTTTAGAAAAGCATAAATAATTGTTGCAAAATTTGTCCAATGTTGTTTTATAATATTAAGAAAAGTCCTACAAATTATCTATTTTGATTAAGATTCAAAGATTGTAATTGAATTTCTTTTTATTTACATTTATTTTTATTTAAACAGTTATTAAAAATATTTTCAATTTATTATTGACAAATATACCCTTGTCATTTGTATAAATTTTATTTGTTAGAAATATTTAAGAAATGTTAATTAGGAAAAAAAAAATGAAAAAATTTTCGAATTGCGATATCATATATTAAAAAAACATATGGTTTTTAGTTTTAATACTGGTCAAAAAAAGATGAAAATGGTTAAATTTATGACCAGTTAGATCCTTTTTTTATGAATTACTGTAAATAATTAATTTGAATAAATGTTGTTGTTTGTATTAGTATAAAAACAAATAAAAAATCCAGAAATACTCAATAAAGCAAAAGAAAATAGTTTTTGAAAACAATTACATAAATAACAACTTTGGAAATCACATCTTGAAATCGTTAGAGAAAAGTTTATATATTTCAACCTTATTAAATTCTTTTTGGAAATTACCTTTTTTGGTTCAAGATGACAATTTCGAATAAGGAACTAATTAGTTAATACTTTTGAACCAGGCATAGTCTTTTGGAATTACAAAAATAATCTTTAGAAGTACTTTGAAAAAGCTGAGCTTAAAAAACCTTTCTCAGAGACGAACACTAAGAGTTCTAAAAGTCACGTCAGCTTATAACTGAAACATTAGAATTATTTAGTGATGTCTTCAATCAAATTTGTCAATTAGTAGATGAATTTCCAGCATACAAAGCTCATCACGGCCGGGAAAGCAAAAGCAAAACCATCCTTTAGCATTTAAATATTTCAAGAGCAACGACAATAATAGGTTTTTTTTTTTTTTCAAAGGCCGACCTTTGGCTAACATTCATATCTATCAACAATTGATGCTCTTGGCCAACAAAGAAATAAATTTTTATGCATTAAATATTCTCATCACAACAGATCTTTCAACTAGCTATTGAAAAAAGAAGCGGCAAAAAATGAAGGGTAACAGTATTTATGATTACATAAACAACAGTTAAAAATATGTTTTTGAAAATCCAGAGAATTTTGCAAAACACTATCGCCAAAAACCAATCTAATAAATTTAACTAGCACAGCCGGTTAAGTTGAAAAAGTTTTATTTTCTATCTCCATTATTTTGGTGAAAACGTTGATTTGGAAACTCATGCTTTAAGTTTTAATAGTTAAAACTTTTAGTTTATTTCTCATAGATTAAATTATGAGTACAATTATTTTCTAAATATTTCAAAATCATTTCAAAAAGGTTTGATTTTGGACAAATTTCAACGTTACTATGAGTCGAAGCTAATTTCTGACCTAATTTTTTGTTTTATAAAATTTACTTAACGCTTCCCCTTTTAGAAAAGTATGTTTAATACTGAATTGAGATTATTATTTTTTAACAGGTGATTCTTTGATGGCGTTCTTGGATTAACAGAACCTATAGTAGATAAATTATTGCACATTTAAAAACAGTCAGAACTAGCAAATTTTTATTTTAAAAGAATAAAACTTATCAATTTAATCAACTAGAAAATCTGATCAAAAAATTACAATTTATGAAAACCTCTTATGTAAAGAAAATTTTAGAATTCTCTCTTTTTTTTTTAACTTTTAAACAAAATAGTTCACTAGATCTAGGTAATTTAAAGACTTTAAATCAATTCTTATACTTTTTTAAACTCCTTCAAGAAACTAGAGAAGTTGAAAACTATTTTCAAACCAGAGAAAACTTGCTAACCAAAAAAGTTAAATGTCATAGTTATTTCATGAGCTATTAATATCTTTTTGAAGCACGAAGCCATTAAAAGTAAAATTCGGCAGTACCAGATAATTTGTTTCATAGCTAATAAAAATTTCAAGTATTAATATTTTAATATTTTTTTTAAAATGAAGTGTTTTTTGTAATAGTCACATGTTAGTTGTTTTTCAACCCTATTTACAAACTTTGAAAAAATGTTTTCCAGACTTTACCCATGAGTTTATTCTCAAGAGAAATGTTAGTTTTGATTAAATACAATAAATAGAAAGCTCACATTTGTACAAAATATCAGTTTTTGTCTTTGTATGAAAATTCAAGTAAGTTAACTATATATAGTACATATATACATTTTGATTAATATTTCCAAGCCTTTCTTTTTTGGCCCGAGATAATAACTTTTATTTCTAGTGACCAAGGTAAGATAAAAAAATTGCTATCAGTTTTATTGCCTGAAAAAACATGGACAAAATATGATAATTACTAAAAGTCAACCATCTTGTAAGCATTCCTGTTAAGTTAAATAATACTAATTCTTTTTGATCTTATCTGATTTAGATTTATAAATTGTCCAACATATATATATGGAACTGCACCGAGGCTATTGCTTATTGGTTTAAAACGGTTATTAAATTAATACTTTAATATAATAAAATGATTATGTTGTGATTATGTAATATAATTAAATTTGTGAAAACCATATCTCAGGGTTTCACAAGAGAGTATGCCAGAAAGAAAATAAGAAACCTTGGTATTCTTAGCATTTGAATTGGCATTTTTTTCACTCGTCTCATTTTTTTTAATACCGAATATGCATATGCTGGGTTTATCCAGACATTTGTTTAAGTAGTTTGCGGCTTCTAAATTTGAGTGTAAAATAACGAATTTAAACGAATAACGGATGTTGAAGAACATGAAGGGAGCAGGGTATATCAGATAATATTCTGCTTTTAAAATAATTGAATATAAGTTCCTTTTTTAAAATTTGATGGTTTTAGTTAATTGGCACAAAATTACAATTTTATTTAACTTATGAGGAAAAAAGGGATTTTGATTTGGTGCAATAAGTTCAATAGATCCCAATAGCTAATCATTTTATTTGGAAAAATCACAAAATGGTAAGTTATTCCCTGAATTTTAAAAGCTAATCCTTAAAATCACCCAAAACAGATATAAACAATGGTTAATTTCTTAGTTCCATATATTAGGAAAAATGTGCAAAAGTAAAGTATTTCCTTTGATTAAAAACTATAATATGGTTCGATACTTTACTGATCATCATTTAGGATTCAAACTGTAAATAGTATATATTGCAGTTTAATTTTTTAAAAGGCATTATTTGCCTCGATAATGCGAAAATGGTTTTGAATAAACTTGTAATATTATTGTAATTGATATAGTTTCGGTGCATAAAGTGGGCTGTAGGGTTTTAAAATATTTCAGTAAACTAAGCATACCGCTTTTAAAATCAATCGGCTGTAATTTGAAATTGATATTAAAAAGGACCCTAAGAGTTTATAATAAATCATAGAAATCGTTAATAATTTCAAAAAAAAAAATACTATTGAGCATTCTCAAAGTCATCAGCTTAACCTACAAACCAACCTTAAAAAAAATTTTTCGACGATTTAAAACATGGCGCGGAAAACTAAACCTATTTGGCCTAGTAGAATAAAAGGGTCATGAATTTGGAAAACTCGAAAAGACTAAGCTTAGTTATCTGCCTCGAACAGAACTACCTAATGTAATGGGCTATTTTTTTTAATGGAGAAGCCAAGGAATGAGCCTATCAATCTTCAAAGTTTGGAGTCATTTTTGGGAAATAAAAAACAAAAAAATAAAAAGAAAAGTAATGCCGTTTCCTTTTTAAAATAACCATAAATTATATTTCCGAGGAATTAAAAAAATATTATTTAGTCTTGAAAAAATCAAAAGTTATGTCGTTCATGCAAGCCGTCCAATTTGAGCTTTGTAGAATATTAAAAAAAAATAATTCATAATACCCACTCAAAAAGATTTGAAATGCTAGCAAAAACCAACAGAAAATTTTTTTTCTCTGAGTTTAAAATAACCTATTTAATGAAAATGAAAAAAAAAAAATCTTCATAAATTTGTTGTATTTAGAGAGCAAATATAATTATTGATCAATTTGAAATGGCATTATTAAAAAAGCGTTTTATAAAACAAAATATTAAAAGGTTAATCCTTTTTTTTTTAATTATTATTTTTGTATATATTGATTGATTCATGAATTATAAACTGCCAAATAGGGTTTATAATTTAATAATTCAGTCATTAGTTTGAATTGTAAACTCGTCTATAGATTCCCAAATTCCCACTCCCGTACAAATGTTAAACCCTAGGAGTTTAACAAATACCCTTTTGAATTATACTACTGGAAAATGAATACGATATTTAGATAATCAATATGATCTGATATGATCAAAAAATCTATTTTTATAGGCTATAAAAATCCATCAGTCCCACTTTTATCCTTTTCAATTTTTCTTTTCTTTCTCCTTTTTTTTATTACTTGATTTATCTAGTTGAATAAACAAAATCAAAATTGCTACAATGAAGAAATTATCACTGTATAACTTTTCATCTTTGCTTCTTTCGATTTTTTTTTATTCGACTCTAGTCGAAGGATATAAGAAGCATTATGTATACATGTGTCAAGCTCTCATCGGCGAATATAATTTAAATTGTGGGAAAAAAACCTTCTATGCTTGCCGATGCACTAATCCAGTTTTTATGACTTCACTCATAAACTGTTTGGACAATTACAATCTTACACAAAAAGCTGTCACCACTGAAGTTAGTACCATCGTTTACAATTGCAATGAATACGGAAACATGAGTGTTACTACCGACATGGTATTTGAAATGTATGAAGAAAACAAAGACAAGATTATAACGACTGAAGAGTTTGGAACAAATCTTACTATGCCTCTCACAGCTCCGATCACTTTCTCCGCATACAACTTGACAATGGCAAAAAAAAGTATCACAATGTTTTATTGGCAACTCGCTACAGGAGAAAATTATGGGTATGCATTTACTTTAACGAGTGACTTGAAATTTTTTATACTAACAGAGTATATAGAGGTATTATGCTTGGATACTGGTGTGGTGTCTTTTTAATTGCAACTGTGATTAATTTTACAGGTAAAATGGCACCCCGAGTCATTTTAAAAATGAATAGTCCTGCTCTTATAAAATTCCGTCAATTGTTTGTGACTCCTGCAACTTTTGGATTTAAGCACTCGATTCCAATCGGATGCTTTAAAAACATAATTGCAATGGCAACTCCTACTCGTGGCATATCAATTATTGTGGGTGGATATCTTATCATGTCTCTTATTCTTGGTATGATTAAGTTTCAACCTTTTGAGCCCAACGTATGGTTTGATGATCAGCATGAACAATTGATTCGTTATATTGCTGATAGATGCGGTCTTACTGCCCTTTCGCAAATTCCTGTTATTTTCTTATTTGCTGGTCGTAACAATTTGCTTCAATATTTGACTGGTTTTTCGTTTGACACATTTAACGTATTCCATCGCTGGGTTGGTAGAGTAATGGTTTTCTTTGCGTTTATGCACTCAGTTTGTTATACATGGCTTTGCCGTGGTTATCTTTCTGAAGAATTTGCTGAAACTTACTGGAGATGGGGTGTTGTTGCCACAGTGTGTGGATGCATAATGCTAGGTCAAAGTATTTTTATTTTCCGGTCCAAGATTTACGAATTTTTCCTTGCTTTCCACATTGCTCTTGGTGTTTTCTTTGTGATTGGAATGTGGTATCATCTTGTTGTATTAGGATGGATGAACTGGGTCTATGCTACCATTGCTATCTGGGGCTTTGACCGTGCTGTTCGTCTCGCTAGATTGGTCTGGTCTGGTCTGGGAACTGCTCAAATTAAGCTTTATCCCAATGATCTTTTCAGAATGACAATTGATTACCCCAAGAGATGGAAGGCTTACCCTGGATCTTATGTTTATGTTCACGTTTTAAGCCCTTGGGGGTTCTGGGAATCCCATCCCTTTACTGTTTATCAGTCTGCGCTCCCAGAAAATGAGGGAAAGCTTATGATTGGTGCTACTGTTAAGGGGGGTATGACTAAGAGACTTTCTAAAGCTTTGACAAAAGCTGGTGGTGACAAGGCAATCAAGGTTTTGATTGATGGACCTTACGGAGCCAGTCACCATGTTGCCCGCTATGATACAGTTATTTTTATTTGTGGTGGTATTGGTGTTACTGCTGCCTTTTCTTATCTCATGGATATTATCAAGAACAAGTACCACGATCAACGTTTGATTTTTGTCTGGGTAACCCGTTACCAATCTTCGTTGGATTGCTTTGAAGAAGAGCTTAAATTCTTATCTCAGAGCGGCAAGTGCGATGTTGAAATATACCTTACCAGTCCTGATGCCAGCAGAATTTATGATAGCAGCAGTGATAATGAAAAGAAGCTGAGTGATACAGGAAGCGACCACTCAAGCTGCAATTACTCTGTGATTACTGGCCAAAGACCAGATGTGACAACACTTCTACCCAGTTATATTAGCCAGTCTAAGGGTACTACAGCAGTAATGGTTTGTGGACCACCCACTTTGAATGATTTGACCCGCCGTACAGTTACCGATAATCTAGGAGCTGGTAACGGTCGTGTGGATTATTTTGAAGAAGCATTTTCATGGTAGATTTGTATTTGATTTTTTTTTTATTTTGTTGTTATTTTTTGTTTAATTTAATTTAGATTTGAAAGAAAAGAAAAAAAGAAAAAAAGAAAAAAAATAGATTAAGAATAGTAAGCTCATTCGGGCTTGGGTATTGATCCCTTATTGGACTCGGATATGGAACACTTATTAGGCTTGGCTTGGATGAAGACCTCTACACAGCTAGGCTGAGTAGGCAAGTATTAAATTTTCAAAATTAATTAAAGGCAATTGAGATATTCTAAACAAAGTTAAAAGGATCTTGCTGGGATTCATCACTGATACTTATCAAAATCAGAACAAAAGGTTATATATCATCGAGTCAATTCCCAAAAAAAAAAAAAAAAAAAAAGATGAGGATATTTTCAACACCCGATCAAAAGATAATACTTCATAAACGAATGAGTATGACTGAATGGTACACTAGCAAGACAAGCACCAATTGCGAAACAATAAACGCCAACCTGACTCTGAATGATCATGTCTACCATTGTGGCTTATGTGGAATCTATCTTAATAGAGTATGTAAAACCAAACCATAAAATTTTTAATCAAGTGTCAGGCTTCCTCCAAGTAGTGTTAGCACTGGTGTATATCCATGTTCCCATAAAGAAGACAGTCATTTTATGGTAGATTTTCATTAACAGAGTGTAATCGAGAGTAACTTTTTAAATAAAGTATTTCTTGTTTGCCGTTTTTTTTTTTGACATTATAGATATAGCATAGAAAAAAAAATATTTGGAATTCAATCTAATTTTTGACATTTCTGAATAAATTAATGTATGATATGTCATTTTTTTTTCTTATTAGAAATAGCATGAAAATTGTTTTAAAACTTCTCAAAAACTTCTCAAAAACTTCTCAAAAAAAAAATTGGCCCGTAATTACAATTTTTATCTCAAATGTTTTTAATATCATCCATTTTTCTTCTCAATGAAAAAAGCTTCTAATTAAAAATGTGTGATATATAAAATCATTACTGATTAAAATCAAGGGTTTTATTATAAAACAATGATAAATTATAAAATAGTTTGACTAAAAAAGAAAAGATAAGTTTAAAGTATCGTGTATTTATTTATTCTTCTATATTTATACATTATTTTAATTTCTTTCTCTACTCCGCGGTTCGCGAACCATTAAATTCATTCATACCCACCACGCTTCTTCTTTTTAACCCCTCCACTACTTCCTACTCTCACCCTTTGACTACTACCACTTTCTTATTCTTGTTTTTCCATCCCGTCTTACAAAATACTCATTCCAGAACAATGTCGTTAATTAACTCAACCTCAGCTTTGCGCCAAAAACTTTTACCAGGTATACAAAAATCTATAAGTACTATTCGTGCTCAAAGACTTCACAGTGCACGCAGATTGTGCAAGCCTTCACCTACGCCGCAACAACAGCAGCCACGGATTCCCTATGAGCCTGTTGCTCCTGGAGAAAAGCCCATCAGTCCTCATGTAAGTTATACTTAATAGAATTTTTTTTTTTTTTTTTTTTTTTTTTTTTTGATTTGACTAACAAAATATAAAAGATTGCAATTTACGTTTCTTTTGGACGCCCGTTTTTGAAAATTGTGGCAGTTGCATTGACCACTTTTTTCACTCTCAAGTATACACGAATTGCATTAGTGGCCGAGCACGAGAGTAGTGAGCAAAAGACAGGCACTGAGACTGAAGTTAATTGAATAAATTGAAGTAATAAATTTGTAAATAGAATGGATATTAACAAAAAAAAAAATTTAAAATTTTAATATTTCAAAAATGGGTAAATTATCAATAAAATGGTAGTGATTAAAAGTAATCACTTTATTTAAAGTAATAATAATTAATGCTTTCTAAAAATTTAGTGACTTTTTCTTTCCCACCTGTAAAAAACTCTCCGCATTTTATGTTTTTTTTATATATTTTGTTCTGCTATAATCTGTCTCTCTCAGTCCCCCCACATTTGAAAATCTCCCCGAAGTTCACAATTGAAAAAAAAAAAAAAATTTAATTATTTTTATTTTTTTATTCTTGCTCTAAGGTTGGTCTCTTTTTTTCATATATATATATATATATATATATATATATATATAACAATCTCAATTGCGCAGCAACTTCCTTTTGATATACCCCGGACATAATATTTTTTTTTTCTTTCCTAGTGACTCATGAGGGACTTTTTTAATGGTTTCCAAAACTATGCTTACTTTAATAGAGAAAAAAATTTTTTTTTTTGAAAAACCTCATTTTTTATTATTTTTTTTATACACACAAAAACTATTTTTTTATTATTTTTCATTTTTTTGACCTTAAGCCTTGAGCTCAGAGCGGAGTCTCTTGGAAACAGCATCAATGAACTCCTCAGTGAGAACGTAAGCAGATCTGTCAGTCTTGCCAGCAGCAAGAGCCAAGTCCTTGGTCATGATGCCATCAACCTGGACAGTGTCAATGGTAGCCTTCTCAAGGGCATCAGCAAACTGGATAACCTCGGGGGTCTCGTCGAGCTTACCACGCTGGGCAATACCTCTGGTCCAAGCAAAGATGGAAGCAATGGAGTTGGTAGAGGTCTCCTTACCCTGCTGGTGCTGTCTGTAGTGACGGGTGACGGTACCGTGAGCAGCCTCAGACTCAAAGGTCTTTCCATCGGGGGAAACAAGAACAGAGGTCATGAGACCAAGGGAACCAAAGCCCTGGGCAACAATATCGGACTGGACATCACCATCGTAGTTCTTCATGGCAATAATGTAGCCACCCTTGGACTTAAGCATCTGGGCAACCATATCGTCAATCAGTCTGTGTTCGTACCAAATACCCTTCTCCTCAAACTTAGCCTTGTACTCATTCTCGTAAATCTCCTGGAAGATATCCTTGAATCGGCCATCGTACTTCTTAAGAATAGTGTTCTTGGTGGACAGGTAAAGGTTCAAGCCGCGGTCAAGAGCAAGCTTGAAAGAAGAGTGGGCAAAACCCTGGATAGAGTCGTCAGTGTTGTACATGGCGAGAGCGACACCGGGGCCCTTGTAGTCAAAGACCTTGATCTTGGTAACCTCGCTGCCATCGGCAGGAGTGTAGACGAGCTCGACAGTACCAGGGGCAGGGATGACAGTGTCCTGGGCCTTGTACTGGTCACCGTGGGCGTGTCTGCCAATAATGATGGGCTTTTCCCAACCAGGCACGATTCTGGGGATGCGAGGAATAACAATGGGCTCACGGAAGACAGTGCCACCGAGAATGTTACGGATAGTACCGTTGGGAGAGAGCCACATCTTCTTAAGCTTGAACTCCTCGACACGGGCCTCATCGGGGGTGATGGTGGCGCACTTGACACCGACTTGGTACTTGAGAATAGCGTTAGCAGCGTCAATGGTGACCTGGTCATCAGTCTGGTCACGGTACTCAATACCGAGATCGTAGTACTTGAGGTCGACATCAAGGAAGGGGGTGATGAGCTTATCCTTGATGAATTGCCAGATAATTCTGGTCATCTCATCACCGTCGAGCTCGACAATGGGGTTCTTGACCTTGATCTTTTGGAAGGAAGAGGCTGACATTTTTGGTTAGTATGAAGTTTTTGTGTGTATGTGTTGAGGATAGAGAGTGTGTGAGATGAAAATAAAAATCACTAAAGAAAAAAAAAAAAAAAAAAAAAAAAAAAGAAGAAGAAGAAGAAGAAAAAAAAAAAAAAAAAAAAAAAAAAGAAAGAAAGAAAGAAAGGAAAGGAAAAAGGGGGGGAAGAAATAAAAAAAAAAAAAGGCCAGAGAAAGAAATTAAAGCGAGGAATTATCGGGACTATGACGCCAGCGCCGATATATGACAAATCCAATTTTTAAGTAGGAAGGGAAAGTGGCAGGTAAGAATGGCAGGCAGATTTGCAGGTAAGCAAGTAAGCAGACAGGCAGGCAGGCATGTAGGCAGGCAGGTAGGTAAGCAAGTAAAGCAGGTAGGCAAGGCAGATAGACAGGCTGTGCATTGTGGTGGAGAAAGTGGTGGTAGTGGTGGTGGTGGTGGTAATAGAAACTCTCTCCAAGTACACACACACACACACATACAGAAGCTTATTAAGGTTGGGTGCTCTCATTGTGGCCACAAATAAAAAAAAATAAAAAAAATAAAAAATAATCTTTTGCAAGCTTCTCATTGGCCATCAAAAGTCTCTCCGCCGCCCAACCCTTACACCCAGCCAGCTAGACAGCCAGCAAGTTTTCCCAACAACAAATCCTTCAAGAATTAATAAGCCTTATAAACACCAGAATAACCAAACAAGAAATGTTCGGATCTTCAAGTTAAAGATTCCGGAGTGGGCTTTATCTCTTTTTTTTTTAAAAAAAAAATTCTTCTTTAAATAAATAAATCAACCACTAGTAGGGGGAAAAAAAACATTCAAATGAAAGACTTCCAATATCACTTTGCCAATCAGCAAGCGCTTAGACAAATCTCTTAATTTAATTTTTTTTTTCTCACTTTGTGTATTGAAAATCCTTCAAAGCAGATAAAAATAAAAAAAAAATCCCTTCCACCATCTCAACTAGAAAATCTCGTTTGGATCGTTTTGACATTTCATTGAGCCAGCTACCATGCCGGCTTACCCAGAAAATTAAAATAATTTATAAGGGCCAGCACACACACACACACTAAAACAATCAGCAACACCAACAACAGCTTAAAAAAAATAAATGAAAAGGCCTTTCCCAATGTCGTGATTATCACACATAAAGTTTTTTTGGGTCCTCGGGGGCTTCCGGAGTGGCCTGCTAACCATTCGTGTTGCTGTGGGAGAGAGCGGATATAATAATAATTTGTTATATAGTGGCGACGGACTCAAGAAAAAAAAAGCTGTACGGTAGAGAGTGGTGCGGTGCCATATTGATTCTATGCTTTGCCTTGCTTTGCCTTGCTTTGCCTTGCTGTGCTATGCTGTAGGCAAGTTGTACATGGTAACAACCGTTGGACAGTTACTTCTAGTTGTAGTGGCTGGTAGTGGGGACATTTAAAGGATAGTGGGGCGCCCTGCAAAATGGAAAATCAAAAAAAAAAAACCTTCAAAAGTACTGCAAGCCATTCTGGCAGAAACGCCGGCAGAGCGCAACCGCACTAATTCCCTTCTCCGGAGCGGCCCGCTTCAGGCAAAAAAAAAGGTCGTATAGCCGCTGTACATAGTGCTAAGGTGTGGCTGTAGGTATAGCTAGTTGTGTGGGGAACATCCATCGCAATGCCAACAATAACATCTGTATGTGTGCGCGGGGTCCTCGCGTCCGAGTCGGCTCAGAGGGGCCAAAACCAGAAGTTACAGGCTCCATGCAACAGTCTCCGAAGAGTGTGCGTGAGAGTAAATGCCAGAAATGCCAAAGTAGGTGCGTGCGGTTGCCCACCGTTCCGGAGAAATCACCGCTTCCGGGTGGTGGGGGAAAGTGCGCCGAAAAAAAAAAAAAAAAAAAAAAACAGAATCAAAAGTCTTGCTCCCCCCGCTTTAATCCAGATAAATGTGGAGGTCCGATCCCGAATTCATATAGAGAAAATCAATCAAAATAGTTTATTTTTTTCATCTTAATGATGAATGAAAAGAAAATAACAAACCTGAAGTCACACATTGACATTGATTGACATTGACAATAAAATTTGGGGAAAAGATAGTATCAAGAAAAGTTATCAACTCATCATCAATTGACATCACCAGACAAGTTGGAAATAAGCATAAGAGAAACGGCAAAAGCGGCTTGGATTTGAATGGCTCCAGAATTGAATAGAAAATGTCAATTCAATGAGGGGTGGATTGAGCGCATAGTAAAATGGAACAATGAAGATTAAACCTTGTTTGGAGTTCGGGCAGAAGGGCATTTATTTTTGAGTGCCAGACTCAAAATAGTAAATGAAAAAAAAAAAAGGACTGAGGCCGTCCGTGATGAAAAATAGAGAAAAGTGGAACCGAGTAACTGAAAAAAAATCGCAGCGATATCGGAGCACTGAGTAAATAAAAAAAAGGCAAAAAAAAGGTTCTTTAATATCAAACAAAAGAACATGGCAGATAAAAAAAAACCTTCTTTCTTCTTTTCTTCAATTCTTGTTTCTTCTTAGCGAAGCAATCCCAAATGAAAAGTGAACCAGAAATTATGGGGTAAAAGATATGACAAAATTGAAATGTTTGGAGGAGGGGGTATTCCAAGTAAATAAAAAGTATTACACATAAAAGTAATACAATTGTAACAAAAAAATATCACACACACACACACAAGCCGAGGCTCAAAGAAATAAAGAAAAATATTAATAACTGTCACTACTTACCAAATCTAACCTGCGAAGCAGTCTTGTAAGTGCTGACGCGGGGGATGGCCAATTGAGTGGCCATAGCAGAAAGACGGCGGAAAGTCATATTGTCCTGTAGTTCTGTTTGAGAGTTAGAAGACATTGTAAAGAAAAAAATTGTTGCTAATATTAAGAGGTATCAAGAAATTTTATTAGAATTAAATGGTTGAATGAATGAATGAATGAATGAATGAATGAATGAATGAATGAATGAATGAATGAATGAATGAATGAATGAATGAATGAATGAATGAATGAAAAAAAGGAAAAAGAAGAAACAAAAGGCGAACATTTAAGCTTTTAAAGAATTTCTGATGAGCCCATCTAATGTATTGTGCCGAGATAGCAAATAAATCAATAAATTAAAGACCCGAGAAGCATAATAATGTGGAGGAAATTCCAAATAGGTGGGGGAGAATTCTCAAAAGCAATTAAATTAAATATAATATAAAAGCCCTTCAGACTTCAATCTCGGCAACTTTCTTAAAGCTGCCACCAGCATGTCAACCTATAATTCTCCCCCACACATTCGCATATATATATATCCTTGAGTGTCGATGCATGATCGTGAATGCTTATAAATAGTCGTATGTCTTCTTTTTGTGGAAATTTAGGGGAAAAAATAATTCTTGTTTGATGGTGAAAAAAATTTGCGTTATCCAAAAATAAAGTGTATATTTATTTACACATTAATACCACACACACTCTCTCTCTGTTTGTTGATGATGATGGCCTGAGCAGTGGAAAATCTTTGTCTTATAATTATATGCCGCTTTGCATCACCACTGATTGATATCACGCATTTGATTTGTTGCTGCATTGTAATGAATACAAGGATGAATAGTAGGGTTAAAAGATATAAGGATGGAAAGAATAGAAAGAAAGAAAAAAGTCGCCACAATAACTCAATTTATGAGGGTATCTAGTGTATATCATAGTAAAGAATGAGAGAAAAAGAGATCTGCAAATCAAACTAAGGAATTGTCGAGTACATAAACAACCAAACAAAAAGAAAAAAAGAGAAAGAGAAATGCTAACGTTTAACTTTTACTGTGGTTGATGGATGTGCAAAATATGAAGAAGCGGTTATTCATGAATTTTTTTTTTGTTCCACTTGAAGATATATCGTGGGTTCGGAGAGATGGACGGAGGTTGATTGATTTTTTAACAAGAGGATTTTTTTTTTTTTTCAAATAAAAGAAGAAAAACAAAATAATAATATAAAGCAACGAAAAAGGGAAAAAATGACGAAAACTTACCAGAAGATCCTTAGTAAAAAAAAACAGAGAACAATAAGAACTGTGATGAAGAAAGAAAAGAAAGAAAAAAAAAAAAAAAAAAAGGAAGAAGAAAGAAAAAGGAGAGGAAATAAAATTATTAAAATATTAAAAAAAAAAATTTAAAAAAAAAAAAAGGCCCCTCCGAAAAGTTCACACACGCACAGGATTCTCGCCAGGCTCTAAACGAATGACTCTAATAATATTTTGTGTGTGCGGGTGCACTATGCCATAATACTCACTATTCTTTTTACTAGGGCACAGCCCATCTAATGGCTCGGTGTGCCCGGCGATTCTCAATTCTTCTTGACTTGTACTGTTGCTGCTGCTGCTACTGCTGCTATTGCTGCTGCTGCTGCGTTTGAACATTTGTTTGTGTTTGTGCGCTTAAATATTTTTTTTTTTCCTCTTTTTTTTTCTTGTCATCTGGTTACCGCTAGGATAGTCATAATATAGTTGTTAATATAGTACCTAATTATAAGTATAATACCTGCTTCCGTTAACCAGCAGACATTATTACTCTTCCAAACCGTTTTTTTGGCATTGTTTTCTTCACACAAAACAACAGAAAACTTCTCCCTTCAATTGAAAAATTGTGAGAAAATAAAAATGAGGAAAAGAAGGAGAAAAAAAAAGGAAAAAAGTTTTTTTATAAATCGTGTCCTTTTAATTCTCGTCATCATTCTAGCTTTACGAGAGGCGGTGTGGACCTTTTGATTTTTTTTTTTTCTTCTTTATTAATTGTATATATTGTCGATATATTTATACTAGGCGTGTCTTCCCAATATTACCTAATCTTTGCATGATTAGGTCATCTTCTCCGCTTTGAAAAAATAAAAAAAAATTTTCTTGCCCTTCAAATTTAAATTTTTAAAAATAAAAACAAAAACAAAAAACAAAAAACAAAAAACAAAAAACAAAAAACAAAAAACAAAAAACAAAAAAAATTCAAAACCTCCATTTAACCTGCAAAT